TAGTCTCAGGAGAAGAGCGATGTGTCCATTTTACAACTACAGGAAAAACACCCCCCACTGCTATGTTTAAGGGAGTGCCAAAATGTCTCCAAAAGACCTCCCCCCCACATCCCTTCACAACCCCACAGGAACAAGAGGGAATCCACTTCACAGCTCGAAAGACCAAGGCCACGGGGCAGGGGAATGGTGGAGTCTGGATGGACCTGTTACCTGGGAGCAGAACGACCATGGCCAGGGCGGGCACATAGGCCCCCCAACTCCACCTGGCCCGTCCACAAGCATGGGGGCAGGTATACCATGCCCACCACTCAGCACATGGGGAAACTGAGGCGAGAGGCAGAGAGACACATCCCAGGTCAGAGGGGGCTTCCGAACCCAAATGTGGAGGAAGGACTCCTATGGGCTGGGAGCGCCCCCTCCCCAGGCTCACAACCGGGAGAGGGCTGAGCGGTAGCTGATCAGAAGCAGGGGTGGAGCTGGGCTGGGCTGGCCAGAGGGCAGGGACTGGCCTCTAAGAAACCTCCCTGCCCCCCCCCCCGCCCCAGGCAGAGTTCTCAGTAGTCTTTTGTATGCAAACACATCAGGGCCTCCTTCCCAGTCCCAGCCCTAAATTAGGCTTGTGCAAGCCCCTTCTTGGTCAACACCCACCTCCCCAGTAGTGCGGAAACAAAGCCACAGGGTCCCCACGGAATAGAGCAACAGCCGCAAAGCACTAAATGCAGGAGGGGATGGGGTGCGAGGGGGTCAAAGAAAATAAACCCCCTCACCCAGCCAGGGGCAGGTCTCAGCTCCCACTCCCAAAGCTGAGCACCTCCGCTCTGCAGGCAACTTACCTTCTTGAGCCTCAGTTTCCCCATTTGAGAAGAACCTGCCCTCCCGTGACCCCCCAGAGTGGCAGATGTCATTGTTTTAGGCCTGAATGGGCTGCCCCCAGGGGGTGTGACCTGGGCCAGCCTGATCCTCCAGGTTCACCTTCCACGTGTGGGAAGAGCCCCATCACGCACCTGGCCTGGGGCACAGTTGTGCAGAGACCCTCAGGCTCAAAGGAGAGGGGCAGCGCGCACTAAAGGGAGGCTCTGGGACATCTGCTGCTGCTTCTAGGAGGGTTAGGCTTCAGACGCAGTCGTGCAGCAAAGCCAGCGTTCAAACCTGCGCCTTAGGAGGAGCTCCTACACCTCAGCCAAGCACGACGGGGAAGCCTCATCAAAACACTCTCGAAATCAATCACAAAGTAAGCCAACTGCCAGCCCTCCCTCCTTCCGGAGACCCCGGACCTCATGCCGGGCCCGGCAGTTGCGGGACCTGGGGCAGGCGTCCTCCCCTCCTGGCTCAGTTTCCCCACCTGTGAAGTGGGGGAGGGGGGGCAGCCAGAGGCACCTCCCCGCAAAGCGAGGCAGGTTCCCCACGTCCGCCTCACCGACTTCCCCCGTAAGCAGCCGGCCAGGAGCTGGCGCCGCACCGGGAGAGGGCGCGCACCTGGGCGGGTGGGCGGCTGGGCGCCGCCGCCTGGTTTCAGGCCGCCTAGTTTCAGACCGCCTGCAGCTGGACTTCGGCTCTGCTGGGGCTCCGGCTCTGCCAGCGGAGTGGGTCGGGGAGGCTCGTTCTCTGGCGGGTGTCGCGCTGGGGGCCGTCCCGGACCCGGCTGTGCGTCCCTTCTCCCGGCTGTGTGCTCCTGCCCCCACGGCTGTGCGCACCCCCTCCCTGCCTCCGCCGTGCCGCCCGCCTCTCGACTTCCCTGTCCGTGAAATGGGTGCAGAGCCCCACTCGCGGCCCGCAGTCCCAGCGCTCACCTGTGCGGTTCCCCAGGACGGGCTCCTCGTTCCCCGCACGCTCCCCGGGCCTCGCTTTACGGCGAGGGGTCGCGGCTGCCGTGGGCATCCCTGCGCTCCGCGGCGCTCTGCGGGGACTGCGGGGCCGAAGCCCGAGGGGCGGGGCAGCCCTGGACACGCCCTTCAGGGGCCCCTCCCCATGGGTCTGGGGGCGTGGCCGGCCCCGCGGGAGTCCCAACCCCCAAGGGGCCAAGCTGGCTGTGCAGGAAGTCTCGCTCCAGGGCCTTGCAAGGGCTTTGCCCTCGGCTCCCGCCCCTCCGAACACCCCGGTCCCCCAGGCCAGGTGTCCTCCGTGAGGGGGCACGTGGCTGCCCCATCTGTGTCACCGTGAGCCAGGCCCTCTTAGCTAGGGCTCGATGTTGTTGGTTTTCACTGAGGAACCCCGGGTGCTGGGGGCACATTCAGATCCCTGGGCTCTGGCTGTGCCCCCACCTACACATGAGGGGGAACGTCCTCTCCTAGCTCTCCCCCTCCAGCTCAACTACTTTGGGTCGTGGTACCGGGCTGGGTCCAGAGCTGCGGCCCGCCTCTTCCTCTCCCCAGACCCCGCCCAGCTCGGTCGCCGCGCCCTCCCTGGCAACCGCCCAGGGGGCTCTCCTAACTCGACACAGGATCTGAGGAGGCTCTGGGTGGCTCAGGCCGCTCCTGAGTAGGCTTGCTGCCCCTCAGGTTTGTCGCCCTGCAGAGAAGGCGGAAGCTTCTTTATCAGCAAAAACAGCAGATGCAAAGGTCCTGAGGTTGGAAGCTTGAGGAACAGCCAGAAGTCCGGTGGCTGACTCAGGAAGTCTCGTAAGTTGGCCTAGGTGGACAGGACTGGCTCGGAAGGGCCTGGCAGGTGGCAGCAAAGAGGTGAGTGTTCTCCTGGGACCACAGAGTAGCATTTCAGCAGAGCAGCTCCCCGCCCCCACCCGACTGCCCTGCGCCTTTGCTTTCCCAGCCCAGTAGAATATGTAAGGGGCACACCCCTCTCCTGGGTGGGAGTTGCTTTTGCCCCATAATATCCGCTCCCCACTTCAGACCTGTGGACCACATAGGATGAGTTTCTTCGATTCCCTTGACTAAGCAGGTGTTTCCCATTTGCCATGTTGGGAAGCCAGGTGAGTCCTCAGGGCTCCTCCACGCCATACCAGGGGACTGGAGCCCCAGAATTCCCTTCCAGATGCCCCCTAGCCCATCTCCAGGGCTTGCACTCAGGGCTGGAGGGGAGGCGGGATGGCCTCCAGGACCCCAAAATGCTGAATTGAGCCTGGCCACTTAGGGTGTGTATGTTTTCTGGGGCTGCTGTAACAAGGGGCTGTGGACTGAGGCCCAGGATAATAGCAATGTGCTCTCGGGGTTCTGGGGGGCCCGAAGTCTAAAATCAGGTGTCAGCAGAGCCCTCCCACCCACCCAAAGGGACTAGGAAGGATCTGTTTCAGGCCTCTCTCCGGCTTCCCACAGTTCCTTGGCTGGTGGCAGCACCATCCCAGACTTCACGTGGCTGGCAGTCCCTTTGTACATTTTTGTCTCTGTGCTCAAATTTCCCCTCTTTTATAGGAACACCAATCTTATTGGAGTAACATCAGTCCTTTTGACCTCCCTGTAACTTGGTCACCTGGAGAAAGATGCTGTCTCCAAATACAGCATGTTTGGGGTACTAGGGTTAGGACTTCAGCCCTTAAATTTGGGGGGTGGGTGGACACAATTCAGTCTGTAGCAGATGGTATCAAGGTCGGGGACAGACATTTTTCTCGGTGTGTGGCTTGGTTGCATGTTCTGGGTGTTTAATGTGGTGCTGGCCTCCTTCTGTACCAGTAGACAGCTAAGGGTGGCCCATAACCTCTGCCATTTCCCATGGGAAACCATGTCCCTCATCATGGGTCAGGGCACACACTTGCCACCAAAGCCATCTCCACAAGCAGCAGGAGGCCCTGGGGTTGGTTCTGGAAGGGAGTCCACAGCTTATAGGAGTCACGAGCTGAACTGCCCTGTCTACTGATTCTGGGGCCTCTTGGAGAGCCCAGCAACACTAACTGTGTGCAGGAAGGGAAACTGAGGCCTAGGAGGGAAAGCACTTGGCTCAACTCAAGTGCTTTGGGTAAACCCACTGCCTGGGCCAACCCCTGCCCGAAACCTCAGCCCCTCACCTCTGACGGTCTCCCGCCATGCCTTGGGCCTTAATGTTCCCATCCGAGGGACAGAGAATGTTGTGTCACCCTCCTGAGACCTCAGAGGCTGTGACATGATCAGTGATGGAGTTGTGCCACAGAGGAGGCCACACAGGCCCCACTGGAGTTTGCACTTACCCCCTCCCCACCTGCCCCTGCCTCTCCGTGTCCTGGCTGGGAGCAGTGCCTGGACCAGGTCCAGCTGGTGCCTCATTGCCCTTGGGCGCTGGCTGCCTCCTCCAGGAAGCCCTCCCTGCTTACCTGCCCCTACAAAGCTGATCTCTGTGTGTGTGACCTCAAAGCCAGGATTTTGTCTAAAACAGAGAGGACTGTGCTTCCCCTTGTTCCTGTGGAAGAGACCAGGAAGGAACTTGTGGGCCGCTGTTGGAGAGGCAAGAAGCGCCCAGCACAGAAGCCTAAGGAACTGATTAAAGCCTTGGCCTCTGTGGCCCCCACCACATTACCTGCTCCTCGTCTCAGTTTACAGCTGGGAGCAGACAGTATGCTAGAACATTTGTGCCATGAATGACTTTGTGGAAAGGCACTTGGAAGAGGAAAGGGGTCTGAGACCCAGGGTCTCAGTGTTCTGCTCTGTAAAATGGGCCAACACACATGCTGCCAGAAACAAAGGGATGGTGAGGCTCTACCCTGGGGGGGGGGTCCTCTCTTCCTGAAGGGCTGTTCCAGGTTGACTGATGTGTCCATGGGCACTGGTGGCCTGGGGTACGGGGGACTGTGCATAAGCCCGGTGGGGGGCAGGGGTGGTTATTGGTGTGTTTCCCTCAAATCGGATAATAACTGTAGAAGGGCTAAATGCTTTTTGTTTTTCTTTAAATATTCCTGATTGTTTTGCTTCTACTCAATAGAAGCATGAGATTTCCATCCTAAAAACCTCTGACAATAGACCAGGTCCAGAAAGTTCATTGCAAGATGGTAAGAGTTAGGGAAGCAATGTGGCCTCATGGGCTGGCCTTTTTTTTTTTTTTTTTTTAATTAAAGCAATTTTCAATAAAATAATGTGAGCTTGTAGCTCCAATGAGCTGAATGTGTGGGGAGGACTTGCCCCACAATGGCACCCTCCGTGCACTTAGGCCCTCCAGCTACCCCACAGGAAGGCAGCAGCCCGGTCCCCTTCCGCAGGTGAGCCCCTGCCTGGAGCCTGCTGCCTGCCAGGGCCCAGCTGTCACTGCCCAGCTGTCCTCCCTGACATGCAGCCTGCACATGCCAGCTTGTCTGGCCTCTCAGGAGGGAGAGGGTGGGTCCCCCAAGTGTCATTGATCTGCCACCCCCAGGTTCACAATGATGGTTCGGGGATGACGCAGCAAGGCATCTCCCCCATCTCCTGCCGGGAGACAGGCCTCAGGGCCTCATGCTTCCCTGGAGGATGAAAGCAGGTGGTAGATTCACAGACAAGATCCCACCAGCCCCTCCCAGGTGCCAGGCCTACACAGGGCATGGGACACAGCCGACACGAGAGGGACGTGGCCTGCGGGGTTGCTCCCCACCTCTGGGCTGCAGGCCACTGTTTCCTGCTTCTTCACTCTTCTTTGTGACATCTGAAGTTTCTGCAACAAGCACGGATCCATCTAATCCGAAAACAGGAGAATAGTAAAACATTTAATATTAAGGGACCTGTAACGACTGCATGAATTCACAAGATAGTCCAGGTCCCACTGTAAAAAGATGGGTGAGAACCCTTGTTTACAGATAGGCAAACTGAGGCACGGGGAAAGGAACTGTCCCTTCCAGGGCCATGCACCTCGATGAGAGGGTTCCGGGCCCTGCTGGGGGCGGAGACTTGTGTTCACAGCCCCCAGTGCTCCCCAGCAACTGGAGCAGTAGCAAGTGCACAGGAGGGTCAAGGGCAATCCAGGGGCTTAGCACTCATGAGCCGGCTAAGCCTCTTTGAGCCCTGCACCTGCCCAGTGAGTCCCCAGTCACCAGAGAAGTGTGAGAGCCTGTCCCCCACGCTCCCAGCTGGCCTCCCAGGACAGGCCCCCTTGTTGCCTGGTGGGAGGCCTTGGGTGAGCCCTGCCCCTCTCTGGCCTCCAGTCTGGTCTCCACCTCCCCCAAGCCACGCCTGCCAATGCTCAGCGCTCTCCTGCAGGCACTTCGGAGGCCCAGGCCTAAGGAGTCCTTTCTGGGGCCCCTATAGGGTGGCCCCTCATGGGGCCTTGGAATCTGGCCAAGGCCATCCAACTGGACAGATCAGGGAGCCCTGGCCCCAAGCAGGTGCTGGGACAGCTCTCATTTCACAGATGGGGACAGTGGAGCCTGGAGGGAAGGGTCTGCCCCTAGCGACACTGCTCACCCAGACCTTCGTGCCAAGGCCCAGGGGCCAGGGACTAACTGTCCAGCTCTCTGTGCCTCTGTTTGCCCACCAGCATAATGGGTGTGCTAGCACTCCTCCTACCTGGGCTGAGGGCTGACAAGATGTGCGGTGCCTCTGAGCATGTCCAGCATGGGAGGCCCACAGTCAGGGCTGGTAGGAGGGGCTCTGTGTCATCACCGCAGAAGCAGGTCCACCAGACAGCAGAGTGGGAAGGGGCTGTGCACCCGCTCTTGCCCCCTTACTCTCCATGCTGACAGCCATGCTGTCCAGTGACCATCCCGAGAACTTGGCTGTCTTTGCTTTATGGGTGAGAAACTGAGGCTCGGGCTTTCGAGCCGCACAGTTTGCTAAAGGGCTGCCCTAGTCGGCTACAAAAGAGAGAAACCCAGTGTCAGCCCAGGGGCAGAGGTGAGGACTTCTGAGAAAGGCCCTTGTGGTTCTGGGTCCTGCCCTCCCAGCATCCCGACGCCACTGCCCAGGGACACTCTGGACCATGGGCTCATTTGTCCCTGGGCCAGTCGCTGCGGCCAGGCAGAGGTGCACGAGGGCCAGGGCTCCTGGATCCTGCTGCCGTAAGCAGGGGATACTGCTTACAAGGGCCACAGTCATTTCTGCTCCTGAGTTTGCCATCGAGGGCCATCTTCAGAGGGCTCACCCTTCTGGCTTCTCCCCGAGGCTGCCTGAGTTGGCTCCCAGGAGCGCGTGTCCCAGAAGACGGGAAGTGCACATCTCGGCCTAAGCGTGGAAGCTCTCTTCTGTTTTACTCTGTTCTTCAAGTAGCCATAGAACTTGGGTTCCAGGAGTGCAGACAGACCTTGTCTTTCAGTGCTACGATCCTTGGCAAATTTGAGAGCCACGTGGGAGTCCGGGCCCTGGGCCGGCTTGTCCCAGACCCTGCTATGTGTCTGCCAGGCCACCTGCACTCCAGCGGCCTGCTCCCGAGCAGAGAGTAGCATCAGATTCAGACCCCATAGGCGGGTGTGATGCCTCGGAGGTCTGCTGGAGCAGACATGCACAAGCAGGTGCACACAGAGGAGACCCCAGGGGGGAGCAGCTCATGGTGTCAGTGCTGGAGGGGACACTCCCGTGTCCTGGGAGCTTCCCCGTACTTCTAGACTTCACGGGAATGTGCAGTCCATCCATCGAGCCTCGGGCTGTCCTGCTGCCGTCCACCGGCATGTGGGCAAAGCCCGAGAGCAGAGACCAGGTCAACTCTTGAGCACCTGCGGTCCTGCCGATGGTGCACGTGGATTTTCCTTCTCTTCAGACCCCTCTCAGCCTGGGTGGGTCCAAGTTCACGTGGCCATCCTGGGTTTTGCTGCACTTGTATCTCCCTCGTCCCCTGCACCCTATGCTCCTAAGATCACTGGAGACCGTCTTGTTCCCAGCTCCTCTGTGGGGCTCAGGGAGGGCCAGGGGATTTTGAGGCTCACCCAGCTGGTGAAGGCCAAGGCCCTGACAGTGAGCGCAGGCTGGATCTCAGTGTGGCTACATGCTCACTGGGACCCTTGTACAGTGGACAACCTGCTGAACTGAGCACGGTGATCCTTCATGCAGAGCATGCTGCTGCAGACTTCAGAGGGCTGGATGTTCCCAGGTCCTGTAGGAGGCAGCCAACGCCTCTGTAAGCCAGACTTAAAGGGGTGATTAGGCTGACCAGTCCCTGCTCAGCCCTTCCCATCTCTCACGTCAACCCATCCCACCATGGAGTGCCACCTGGCTGCTCTTACTACCAGCCTCTATGATCTCCCAGGTCCACAGAGCCCAGGAGGAAAGCCCTCTGTAACACTGACTTTTCTCCCATCTTACCCAGCACTTTCATACTCAGCACAGGTGCCATCTCCTCCAGGAAGGCCTCCCTGCTGACCAGGGCTGAGCTGGGGAGACCATGAGCAGATTCCACCAGGAGTGTGGGGACCACATGCAGCTCATCTCTGTGGCTGTACATGCAGCATGGGCCAGGCCCAGGGCAGCCAGTACCAGCGGTCTGCAGAGTCCGCGGAGGATTGCTGGCCCACGTGGGTAATGTTGGGGATGCCTCAGGCAAATCCCCTGTCTGTTCTTTCTCTCCACTCACCTGCTGGACCTCCGGCCGAGGTCATCAATGACCTTGGCCTTTGAAATCGGCAACCTTGAGCTCAGACCCTGGAGCTGCTGGGGTGCTTTGGATAGAAGCCGCCTATGCCCACCACACCTCCTCAGCCAAGCCCCGCAGTGCCTGAGGCTTCCCCTGGGGCCCTTCCTTATGGTCTTTCATTTTCTGTGATCTGAGGCTGGGATGGGCCACGCTGACCCCGGAGAGACTCCCAGGGCTCACCATTGCCTGGAGGTGGTAAAGGATGCCCTGGGGCTGCCTCACCTGCAAACCAGCCCATGCAGAGCCACACCCACCTTGTAGGGTGGGCTGGGGTGGGGGGGCGCCCACCTGCCCTAGTCACCCCAGGCCGGGCACCAGACAACTAGCCGCCACGCCCAGAGCACACTGAGATTACTCAAACAGCCAGTCCTAGGCCTGCTTCCCATAGTTGCCAGCTACCTCCCACAGAAACCACAGGACTAGCTCTTGCCATGTTCTCCTCTCTGTCTGCCTCCTGCCAAGCCCTCCTAGGGGCCTCCATGCTGCCCCCACATGTGCTGTGTGCCCTGGTTTGCTGGCTCCTGGAGCAGGATGGCCCTGAGGGGACGATCCCCCTGTCACGAGGGAGCTTTGTGCAACGGGGCTCTCCAGCGGAACAGGAGCGGCCACACAGCACCAACATCACACAGGGTCACTCTGAGACAAGGACGCAGCGCTCCCCAGTCCTGTCTACGTGAGGTCCCTGGGCAAGTGGTAGGAACACCAGACATTCTCTGTCCTGGGGATCTGAGTGACCGCTGCCCCCTCACCTGGCAAGGCTCTTCCCTCCCTTCCTCCCACTTTCTGGGAGAAGTTACTAATACTCAAGCATGGACGGGCCCATGTCCTAACGAAGCCGCCCTGCCCCCTGACCTCTCCTCAGAGTCTTGTCATGCCAGCCTGGCCCCCAGCCCCTGACATCCCAGCACAGAGATGCCTGCACTCCCCATGCCATGTGCTACTCCCGACCACGGCAGCTGCCAGCCCCTGGTATGCCCCTGGGGCTCGGGAGAGAGGCCACGCTCCAGTTACCTCCAGATGAGAGTGGCTCCACACCATGCCCTGTGTCAGTGTCCTGGGGCCACTGCAGCAAAGCGCTACAGAATAGCAGGCTTGGGACCGCTGGAGAGCACACGCCGTTCCTTGTCCGTGGGCTGCGCTGGTGCTGTGCCTGGCTCTGCCCTCCACCTTTGGGCATCTTCTCCCTCTTCCTACAGGGACACCTGTCACAGGGACCCCATCTTAACTACATCCGCAAAGATCTTATTTCCAAATTATGTCACATTCTGATGTTTCAGGTGGATGTGGATTTGGGGGGACATTATTCAACCCACCACACTCTGCCCTCTGATCCCCTTAAAAGTCACTTTGGTCTCATGTTCAGAATATATCCGCCCATCCTCCCAACTCTCAGAGTCTTAACCCATTCCAAAAGGGAGAGGAGAATGGACTGAAGGACTGAGTTGCTGGTCCCAAGCAAGTCTGAAGCCTGGAGAAGAAGCAGCCAGAGACTTCAGGGCCCAAGAATAATCCTCTGTGGCCCGACACTCTGTCCTCTAGGCACATGGCAGCAGCCCTGCTCTCTGGGGCCCTGGGCACCCCGTCAGGGAGTTCATACCACCAGACAAGAACCCCCACAGACCTGGCCTGGGGTCCCCACCTCTGTCCCGGTGCTGGGCTGAGAGGGTGCACCCCCAATTTCTCCAGGAACAGGGGTTCCCACTGCACCGCCGGTGTCCCTTCAGACCTAATTTAACAATCTGGGCAGGTTCCCTTCTGCCCAACAGTCCTTCCCCCATTGGCCTCCTGGCCCCCCACCCCCAGGTTTTACAAGCAGCTTTGTTTGAAAATGTCCTCAGCTAAACATCCAAGTTCGTCCCTTCCAGTGTCTCCTTTGTGCTCAACCTGAGAACATGGTTCAACCAGGCTCTGCCACACTCAATTCCCCAATGCCCTCCCCAGAGGAGCCTTTCTCGTCCCTATTTCTACCGAGAAGCTCTTGGAGGACATTGAGGCACCTTCCATCCCGTGCCCCAAACTCGTCCAGTTCCAGCTCCTCAGCCACTCCCGCCGCCCAGCGTCTGCTAGCGCAAAGTCGAGGCTAGATCACTGGAGAAGAACACATTGCCACAAAGTTGCCAACAACAGAACTTAAATTCATCAAAACAACAGAAACGTATCCTCTCTTGGTTCCGGAAGCCGGGACCCTGGGGTCAAGGTGCGGGCAGGGCCACACTCCCTCTGGAGGCAGCGGGGAGGGCCCTCATGCACCTTCCAACCCTGCTCGCTCTGCCTGTCCAGCTCTCCACCGCCTTTGGGTGCGCCAGGCCGCCGCGCTGTCACGTGGCCGTCCCGGAGTGTCCTCTCTTCTGATACAGACCCAGTTATGAGGTTACGGTCTGCTCTATCCTTACTTTAACTAATATCACATTTTGAGGTTCCAGGTGGATATGAATCAACCCAAGACACCTGCGTTGGCTCGCTCCCCTTCTCCCTTCTCCGCCTTGTTCTCCCCCCACTGCAGTTTCCCTAGGAGGCCTCCCGAGCAAATTCCTTGCATTCAACTTGTACAGCAAGATCTGCCACTGAGAGAAACTTACATGACACAGACCCCTGCTCTGAGCTCCCAGGGACCCCCTGAAGATGCACCCCCCCCACCCTGAGCTCCCCGGGATCCCCCGAAGACACAGCCCCCCACTCTGAGCTCCTGGGGACCTGCCGAAGACACGGCCCCCAACCCAAGCTCCCTGGGAACCCCCAAAGATGCGGACCCCTGCACTGAGCACCTGGGGACTCCCTGAAGACACGCCCTCCCATGCTGAACTGTTGTGTACCCCTCTCTGGGCAGGGGAAGATGATGGCCCCTTTCTGTGAGGTTTTGGGAGAATGTTGTGGGCTCTCGGCTGAGGACGTGTGCACTTCCTGCTCTGGGGAGCAGGAGTCCTTGGGAATGACCCCATTATTTTTTCTTGAAGAGGATGGGCTGCTCACTAGTTTCCTGGTGCCCCTTTGGGGGGCAGATGTGTTTTGGGGGTGTCAATCACTTCTCCGGGTTTTGACAAGGCACAGGGCAGCAGAGCCCCTGTCGAATGGAGACTAGTATCACAGCAGGCAGTGCTGGCCTTGGCAGGAAAGGGGACCGTTCTGTTCTTCCCAGGGTCACTGCCAGCCCGACTTCAGGTGGGGAGACAGGACCAAAGCAGGACACGGTGGAGGCCGCCGGCCGGCCCCTACAGACACCAGCGGCCGGGTGGGCGGAGCAGTGGTGAGCTGGAAAGCTCACTGCACGTGCTTTATTCTCACACAGCTGCTTCGGGGAAGTCCGAGATGGGTCTGCTCCCCAGTCCTGGTGTGGGCCTCTGGGCCCCTGCCCTGTGCAATGCTGGGGGCCACCAGGACCAGCCCTGACCAGGGAGGAGGGAGCTGGACGGCAATGCTCCCACCGGGGTTGCCAGGCAGGCTGGGAAGGCCTGAACGCGCACAGCAGGAGGGGAGCCTGCAGGCCGCACCAGGGCTGTGGGTCAGGAGCCTCCATCGGCGCTTTGCACCCACACGCGGGCACCGAGCCCAGAAGTCCATCCAGCCAGAGGGGCCAGGCCAGGCCGGTCAGGCCTCGGAGCCAGCAGGGTGGAGGCGGCCGGTTTCCCAGGATGGAATGTGCAGAATGTGGGGTGGGCACCTGGCTGTGCCCCACAACGTGTCCCGGCCCTGTCCACCTCCTTGGGCCCTCAGTTTCCCCCTCATAAATTGGGAGCAGCGGTAGGCATGAGGCTGTTTGACCAGGGAGCAGGTAGCTGCTTCCAGGAAGGCTGGAGTCCCTGGGGTCCTTCAGACTCTCCTGGGGACCACCTGGAACCCTTCAGGACCACAGAGAGCCTCTGAGGGGTCATGGCTGGGGGGAAATGGAGATGCCAAGCTGACAGGTAGACAAGCCTAGACTGGATGCCTCTGGAGCACCATGCACTGCCCACAGGCTCTGGCCCCTGGTGCATACAGACCTCCTTAGTTCCTGTACCAGGGCGTTGGGTGGAAACCCGGATGCAGAGAGGTAGGGTCCCACTGGGGGCGGGCATGAGGGTCTCAGGTGCTGTCCTGGGAGGCTTCCATGACACTGTTCTCCCCATGTCAGATATCTGAGGTAACCCCCAGCCGATCCTGCCCACTGGGGAGCCCTGTGAGGGTGGGGGGTGTCTGAAAGGTATGGGCCTTGGGGGTCCGGGATACAACTGGCCTCAGGTGCCAGCTGGGTCTCCAGGAAGGCTCCATCAGAGAGAGCTCATCCGCAGACACACTGCACGCAGCTCTGGGGGAGACGAGCCCACCCTCCTCCCTGCACTCCTGCTGCCAGGACCATCAGACTCCAGGAGGAGGGCCGGCCCTCGAGAAGCTGTGGTGGCCAAAGCTGGAGCTCCCCAAGGCCTGAGATCTGGGCTTGATCCTGCCATGCCTGTGTGTATGCTGCTATCCCCTGGGCGGGGGAGTGGAGGACAGCAGACCTGCAAGTAGGACCCAAATGCCCCTCTGCCAGTGTTCTGGGGCACAGCGGCCCCTCTGGGTCTCAAGGTGCCAGTCTCTGCAATAGGACCAGATGTCCAGGATGAACCAGCTCTGTCCCTGAGACCCAGAGACCTGGAGAGTGCCAGGCCCTTACAACCTCAGGCAGCCAGTGCTTCTCTCTGAGCTGCGGTTTCCCCGTCTGTAAAATGAAGGTTCCGGACCCAAAGTGCTCAGGGGCAACATGCCAAGAACAGTGTCCCCAAGCCTTCGCCATGGCTACTGGCAGACACTGAGCACCTGTTGTCGGTGCCACATCCTGCCCTGGGAGTCTGTGTACTGCACAGGGGCACAGAGGTTCTACAACGGCACATACCCGAGCCAACAGTAGAGTGTGTCCAGCAGGGTCTCAAAAAGACCTGCGGGAGGTGGGAAGGAGGCGGGGCCAGAGCTGGGGGTGGGGGTGGGGGGTGGTGGTGAGGTTGGGGCCTGAGTGCGGGGTGTGGGGGACAAAATGAGGCCGGATGTGTGCAAGGTCCAGGGTCTGCAGGGCGCCGTCTGACACCGGTGTCAGAAATCCAAATGGCAGCACACGGGAGCTGTGCCCAGTGTACAAACGGGTGGGTGGAGAGTGAAGGAATGACCACCAGCCAAGCCCCTCGGTCGCTGTGTGACCCAGGGCAAGTGTATTTCCCTCTCTGGGCCCGTTTCCCTAAGGCTACAATGCCTCTGAGTAGTAATTCTTCTCAGCAAGTGGCTGGCTCCATCTGCTTTCCAAGACTATGGTGGATGCCAGCAGCACCCGCTCTGGGCCTTGTGAGGACACGTGCTCCAGCGGTGGGGTGGTCAGCAGGCCCCGGAACACTTGACCAGAGCCTGGGCTCCAAGCACCATGCAGGACCTCTGTGGAGAGGCCCCTGTGCACTCACTTCCCCAGCTCCTGTCCCTTTGTCCTCCACTCTTCCTCCTCTGGAAACCGCTCAGGCAGGCCCCTCACTCCTACCACAGCCCCTGGGCCTGGCACTAGGCCAGGCAGGCCTGCCCAGACCCCAGCCTGTACTCCCATCCAGCAGGCTTCCCTTCCCCGCTTCTAGGGATTGTCTTGTATCCGCACCGCGGGGGCTGCTGGGTGGGGAGGAAGAGGAGCAGCAGGTCGAGGAAGAAGCCAGTGGAGAAGCCCAGACCCTCTGCCCTCTGTGGGTGCTCAGGAGAGTGAGCCCAGACCCTGGGCTCCAGGGCGGGCCGTTGGGTTGGGAAGGAGCTCAGGACGTGGGGACACGTGCCCACCGGGGCGCACACTGCCACTCACCCTGAGATCTCACGCTCTGCCGGAGTCATCTCTTGAACAGCTAGAAGCGGCAGCCTCAGGCTCGCCCATCACGGGGCTCTTGCTGGAGACCTGCTGGGGACCTGGAGCCCTGTCTCCATCAGCGCCCCCCCCCCCCCCCCCCCCCCCCCCCCCGACTGACCCACACTCCCAAGTCCACCTCACGGCCCCCACCTCTCAGAGCAACGCCAAAGGAGATGCTGGGGAGACCTGGGGCCAGGCCCTGTGGCCCCCAGCCTGCTCTGCTGGCCCCTCTCGGCCCTGCCCTTGGCCTGTGTGCTCTCCCTACAGGTCTCCAGGGGACCTGCCCTCCTCTGACCACTCTGCCAACACCCACACTGCAGGAGATGTGGCTCCACAGGGAGGAATTCCTTCCTGCACAGCCTCAAAGCCCAGTCCAGAACGGGCAGTGGGGGCATGTCTCCCAGCCCTGCTGTAGCCACAGCCTGTGGGGCCCACGGCTGGCCCCGGGCTCTCCCATGGACTGCAGCCGACTGCGGGGGGCAGCACGCTCTTTCATACTTAAGGATCCTGGTGATCAACCCCAGGGCTGCCCGGTGAGGGCAGGGCCCCTTTGAGGTCACCATGGAAACCTGTGTATGGGGACCCCAGCCTGCTGGGCAGGAGGACAGGTCCCAGACAGCTCACTAGGGGGCTGGCCAGGAGGACCCCACGTGGGTTCCTGCTGTGGGGGGCCTAGTTCCACACCTGACCCGAGTGGAGTGCCCCATACCCAGTGGGTCAGTCCCGGCTGCCCCTGATATTTGGAGTTCTGAGACCCGTGGGACCTCCTATAACTTAGTCTCCTCAGCTGTCACGTGGGAACATCCCGGACAGGGCGCCCCTGAGAAGAGCCCACTAGGCCTGCGGACATAGAAAGTGCTCAGTGAGTGCAAAGAGCAGAGGTCAGAGGAGAAGGGACTGGACCAGGGAGAGGGGCTGGCTGGGCGCTTCACTGACCCCCTCACAGGGGCGGGACCTGCTCCCCGCAGTCCTCACTGGGCCGTCCCCCACTCTCCCCTCCTTGGGGCCCCACCCTGAGGCTATGCCCGGCTACTGGCCGCCAGCATTTATTTTCACAGACCAGTATGGCCTGCCGCTGGCCAGGGGACATGGGCACAAATCTCGGCCCCACGTGATGCAGGGCCAGGCCTCCCCTGGGCTCTGCGGAGTTTCTCAGGGAGGTCCCGCAGACGTGCCCCCAGCGACGGCGGCCTCTCCAAACAGGGAGGCGGGAGGCGGGGGCAGCACCGGGAGCGGCAGAACATGAAGGTGCAGTCCAGGCCAGTCACAGTTCAGCTCACACGGTCCAGACGGGGCAGGGCGGCGGGGAGGGAAAAAGGCTGCAGACCTCCACCCGCTGTCCCCGAGTGCCCCCAGGCCTCTCCTTCTGCCTTCCGGAGCTGGGTTTCCCTCACTGCACGGTCGCCTGCGCCCTGCTCCAGGCCATGCTGTCACGGTCTTCCTGGACACACGCTGGCCACATGGGCCTGTTTCCTCTGCTTCAGAAAGAGGTCCCCCCAGGGTCAAGTGTCCCGTGGCTTGTCTGCTGCCAGCAGTCCGAGAGCCCCACACGCCTGCACATAGCCTCCCAGGTGGGCACAGGCCCTGTTATGGTGGCCACAGGGCCGGGACACCGGGCCGAGGCTCAGCTCACAGGGCCACTAGGCCAGGGTCCCCGCGGGCAGCTGCGCTCAGGGCTTCCAGCCACTGCTGCCGCAGGTCCGCTGATGGGGTGCTCAGGTACAAGGACTGCTGGGCCTGCTGTAGCCGCCACACGTGCCTGCTGTCCGGCCTCTCCACAGGGTCCAACACACTCACTGTGCAGCCAGCAAGGGGGATGGTGCGTGGCGGCCCGCCATCCTGCAGCAAGGGAGAGCTGCGTCAGCATCCCGGCCTCTGCCGCCCTAGCCCACAGCACACTCTTTCCCATGGGCAGACAGCAGAGGGGTGACTCTGCGCAGCCGGGGAAACCAAGGCCCCAGGATCACAGGAGCCTGAGCAGGGCTGGTCCCAGGCAGCGTGGCCCAGGCCCCTCTGGGCACTGTGGGCCTCAGGCTCCAGACTGTGAGAATTGGGACACAACCCCTAGCACGACCGGGGGCAGGTGGGGGACACACCTGGCTGTCTCTCGGCAGGTGCAGCACCAGCTCCAAGGGTTCTGACGCCGGGATGGTGGCCCACACCTCACTCCACACCACACCGCTGTCCGACACCTGCAGGGAGCTGCAGAGCATGCTGGGCTGGGGGTCCACAGGCACTGGGTTCTGGAGACATGAAGGGTGGGTCAGGGGCAGCCTCGCCGCAGGGGTCACCCTCATGGGGAGGGGACGGGCCTTGCCTCCTGGGAACATGCTGGACAAGGGCCTAGGCCTGCCTGACCCACCCCAGGGTCACCACAACGGCCTCTGTGTATCAGGCTGCACCCTCCAGGGGACTGAGACTGTGAGTGGCATTGGGCCAGAAATAAAGAAAAAATGGAAGAGTTGGAACCAGGGTGTGGCTCATGAGAAAGGGCTGTGTGTGGTTCACCGGAACACATGCACAGTGCACCAGCACGTGCATGCATGCCACGAATGTGTGCACCACACACCTAGCATGTGCATGCACACCACAAACACGCACACTGCGTGCACGCACATGGCGGACACACGCGCCACGCACCTAGCATGTGCACACACACACACACACACACACACAATCTGTCCTGGCACAAGCCAACAGCTGTGAGCACTGCAGAGGCTACTGGGGACAGGGGCTCCCGTCATGAGGCTCCCAGCATCGGGCCTGCCCACCTCTGTGCTGTGCTTGGGCTCCTCGGGTGCCGCCTCAGGGCTGGGGCTGTCAGGTACCACCTGCTGCGTCAGGAAACACTCTCGGCAGACGCGGCTCTGCCTGCCATTCTCAGCCTTGAACTCGGAACACTTACCACAGATGACCTGCAAGACAGAGGGCACCTGTGACCCTGCCCCTGGGGACAGAAGTCTGTCCAGGAAGAGACTGGAGGGGCTGCAGGGCCAGGAGGGACACCGCATGTGGAAGGGAAGGGCTTCTCCGCAGGAGCCTCATCAGAGGGTAAGGACCCCAGTGCTGGCCCCATGGGCCATCCAGGACTTGCCTCCTCTCCTGGAGGGTCCCGCAGTTTGTGTGCACAGAAAGAAAATTGGGAAGAGGCACCAGGTACATGGAATGACGCTCAGCATCACTAATCACCAGGGAAATGCAAACCCAATCCACAGTGAGATATCAGATATTGCCTCACGCCTATCAGGATGGCTAGTACCCCAAACACAGGCAGTCAGCATTGGTGAGGATGTTTGTGAGGACGTGGAGGAACCGATGTCTTATGCATCATTTGTGCGAATGCAAGACGGTAGAGCTGCTGTGGAAGATGGATATCCAGTCTCCAAAAACACTGAAAACAGAGTTACCCTAAGACTTGGCAATTTCCATGATTTCTGTTTTTATGGATGGTTGGATTAGTGAGTAGATGGATGAAGACCCACCCATCCACCCATCCATCTATCATCCATCTATCCACCCACCCATCATTCATCCACCCATCCATCCATATACCCATCCACCTATCCATCCATCCATCCATCCATCCGTCCATACACCTATCCATCCATCCATCCATCCATCCATCCATCCATCCATCCACCCACCCATCCATCCATCCTCCATCTATCCACTACTCACACACCCATCCATTATCCATCTATCCATTCATTTGAGGACTCATGCTTTTATCTCTCCTTCCCCCAGTGTCTCAAGGTTTCATGCAAGGGCATGACAATGAACACCACACCTGGCACAGTCTGCTGGTGCTCTTTGGAAAACCATTTCTAAGACAGCTCCATGCTAAAAGCCACCTGCTAACATAAATTCCTTTTTAATAACTTAAGCTAGAAATATGTAAATCAACAATAGTCCTTTCATGAGGAATAATCTTCCCTTTCAATATCAAGTTCAGAAGCCCATCCTCAAGAGAAAGAAAAGGGTTCTGGGGGGCTCTGTGAGGAGAAATAGAGATGGCAATCACTTGGGGTACCAGTTGAAGGTAGCCTCACATCCCCCAGGCCCACTCAACCTTCACCACCCTTGGAGCACCTAGACCAAAGTAGCAGGAGGCAGCTCCCCCAACGACTGCACCCCGCCCCTCCCCATGCCCTCTCCCTCCTCCGGGCATGGCGTCCCTCACCTCCCCTTCAACCCAGGCCACCCAGCACTGAGCTCTGTGGTTCTGAATCTGGTCCTTTCTCAACCACAGCCCTGTTGGTCAGACACCAGAGCTGACCAGAGGAAGGAGGTTAGTGTTGACTTCAGACGGGACATCGCCTGTCCGCTCCGGGGCGCCGAGCCTCACCCATGGTCTAGGGGACCCGGCACTGAGTGCCTGCACTCACCGCGCCACACAGCTTGCACCGATGCTTCCTCTTGGTGATGGAGTTGAAGGTCTCACCACAGCTTCTGCAGCCCTGCTTCTCTTTGTCGCGCCTGGTCTTACCAGACCCCCTCCTGGGCTCAGGCTGCAGGAGGCAAGTATGCAGGGACCACTCTGTGAGCACATGGGCAGCACGTGCACAGAGCAAAACGCAGGAGGGAACAAAGCTGGGGCATCGTAGCCTCAGCCCCCACCCAGCCCTGCTCCCCAGGCTGCCCTGTGGTCACCAGCATGCATGCAGAGGTTCTAGGTGGGTCTGGAACTCTGCCCAGACCGACCTGGTAGGTCTGAAAAGGTGGGGCCCAGAGCCCATGCTGGAGAAGGTCTGCCCTGCGGCCCCGGCGGGAGGCAGTGTCTGTGCCTGGGCCAGAGTCACCGAGGCTCAGGGGCTGCCTTGGGCCCACCTGAGCACTCAAGGGGCGGGTTGGGCTGTGTTCCCTTTCCCCTCCGCCAAGCTGTCTGGTCCTCCCACCCAGGAGTTGACAAGGGGAATGAAAGGAAGTCAGGAAACAACATGGTTTGTGTTCACAGAACTTAAACAAGCTTTAGGACAAGTCATGAGGACACCATGAATGCCTTTCCACACGTTGGGCCAGGTAGGCCAGAAGCTCAGAGCCCCCGCAGAGACAGGGCGGGGGGGGGGGGGGGGGGGGGGGGGGAGGGCGAGGGTGGGGCTCACTTTCCTCCCCTCCTTAGTCTTTACAAACAGGCACTTATTTCCCTCTTTGTCAAACTATTGACTTCACTCTGTTTTAGTTTAGTCCCAAACTAAGGGAGCGGCCCCCTGCACAGGAGGTGGAGGCCAGGCCACAAGTGGGATGCGGTTTAAAGCTGCCCCTGGCACGGCTCAGGGAGAAGGACCCAACCGCAGAGTGGCTCCTGCGGAAAGCGGACTTTCTGCACAGAGGGGTTGGAAGAGCAGAGAGAGGAGACGGGGAAGCAGAGCCAGACGCTCCTGCTGGCCGGCTGCGCCAGGGACCTCCTAGCGGGCAGCTCACCAAGAATATCTCAGAAAAGAGGAAGAAACGCAGTAAACAAGTAGAAAGCAGACGGTCCCCCTGCCCCCTCGCCGCCACCCAGTGGCTCCTGGGACAACTGTGTGGGAGCGGGAGTGGGTGGGTGGCTGTGTGCTCTGCTCCCGGCCCCACTCCTGTCCAGGACCCCAGCCCCACGGAGACAAGAGCTTTCACACAAGCAGCGGGCAGGCAGGAGCAGGTACAGCATGAGGCTTTGGTGGGGGCTCAGCAGAATGGCCAGCCAAGCCTCAGTTTCCCCATCTGGGAAGGAGTTGTACAAGGTGGGAACCAGCCCCCACGCCCTGCCCTTCATTAGCCATGAGACCACGGATGATGGTCTCCTTCCTGAGCCTCAGTGTCCCCATCTGTACAGTGGGGTTGACAACAGCTCCTGAGGCCCCTCATAGCATATGGATCCCAACTGACTTGGCCAGTTTCCCCTTATGTTCCCACTTCTCTCCACCCCACTCGGGGATCCTCTCCCAGAGACCATCTCAGGACTGCTCAGGGCCAGACATGGGAGGGGAGCCACCTGGGGCCTGGCACGCAGGGCACGGAAAGAGAGACAAGGGGAACATGGCCATCCCTGAGGTCTGCCGTGTCCCAGCAGCCACCCCCCAACCATCCCTCAGGGTGGTCCCACTGTCCCTGTCTTCCAGGTGAGGACCCCAAGGGCTTGGGAGGTGAGAGTGGTCGACAGCAGGGCAGCCGGGCCCAAGGCCAGAGCCACAAGTCACTGACACCAGACGGCCATGGGGGCGTCCGGGGGGACAGAGGCATGGATGGGGGCCAGAGGAGAGGGCTGGCCCAGGACGGATGGAGGAGGTGGCTGCAGTGGGGCTGGGGTGTGGCGCCAAGATCACCGCTGCAGGCCAGTGGGACGGAGGGCATTTCTGCAGCAGCGGGTGCTCAGGCCTTCTGTTTGGATGCCGGGACATGGAAAGGCCCGGGCCGAGTCCTCAGGCAGGTACAGAACTGGGGAATCTGCGAGTTTCCGCCCAAAGCACCCAACGTGCTGGGGTGCGGGCGGTGGTCTCTGCCCAGGGCAGACTCTGACTCACTCGGGTGTTTCTGGCTCCACAGCACAGAAGGAGGAGGAACATTTAGGTAAGACTCGGCCCCAAAGATGGCTTGACAACCAGTCTCTGATGGCACCTCCCAGCTGGCCCTGGGTCCCACAGACTGTGGACACAGGCCCTGCCTGGCCCCTCTGCTCCCTGTGGGCAGCTCTGTCCAGGACCCCAGAGCATGGGCTTGGGGCGGAAGGGCAGCACTAGCTTTGTGCACCCTAAGGTCGTGGCCAGGTGGTCGGGCGGGACCTGGCTCGGCCTCTGGGAGGGGTGCCCATGTCCCCCTGCAAGCCCGAGCCCCAGAAAGCCTCTCTGTGAAGAGCTACATGACTTCTGCAGAGCACAAAAAGCTTTAGCCACCTTGTGAAACTTCCTGGCCTGGGCTGAGCCCCTCTTAGGAAAGGGGTGCTTGTAGAACCGTGTGTTTGAGGACACCAGGGCTCAGGGAAGGAGACCAGCAGCCACATGGGGATTTACCTTCCTCTCTAAGTGTGCTAAGAAAAAGCTTAAATCTGCAGCAAGGATCAGTCTTTTGGTGTCAGAATGAAAACTCATTTTAGAGCACCTTCCACTAACGCACACTGAGCAGGTCTCAGTTAGACCCTATACAGCCAGACTTTTACCCACACTGAGCTACCTCAGATCCACTAACATCTCTGTTCACAGGACACACCGGTGAGAAAAGCATGGGGCCACTGTCTGTTACTGTGTTTGTGTGTTGTGGGCTCTGGGCAGGTGCAAAGACCCTGGGGCAGGGTAGAGTGAGAGGAGAGAGGGCCAGGAGGGTGAGGAAGCCCCTTGGGGGTTCATGGGCTGTGACAAGACCATCCCTCTCTCATTGTCCATGCCACTTCCATGCTGCTGGCCTCAATGACACTAACTACTGGGAACCATATTCTGTTCCCCAGAGCCACGAGGCAGCGGCACCGCTTGAATAAGGGGGGGGGGTTTCCTCCTGTCCTTTGGCCCCTACACCCATCATGTCCCCCAAATGCTCCATCCTTCCCTCAAAGCTTCTCAAGGTGTTCCCAGTGCCCGGGAGTCCGAGGACCTAGGTTGGGGGCCCAGGTTTTGCTCTAGTATGGGGTGGGCGCTGTGGTTCTGGGTGCACCTGACCCAGGCCTCCCAGCGTGGGCCAAGGCAGGAGACGAATTACGCTTACTAAAAATCCAGCTCATGTTGGGAACCCTGTTCCCTGTGGCCACGGAGACAATGGCCACCCCCCAAAAGCCACTTCCAGGGCCCCCTTCCCAATGCAGGGTTTGGAGCAGAGGCTAGGCCTGCCATCAAACTTCTGTCTAAAGTGGGGCTGCCCAGAACAACGACCAACCCACAAGGGCAGCACAACCTCACTGGGCGAGCTCTGGGCCTCGATGTTGAATTCAGGAGACTCACTAGCAGTTCCAGGCTGATGGAGGGGCAGCACCTGCCAGGGGATGGGGGGCGGGGGCGGCCTGGGAGGTGAGGTCGTGGGAGAGGGAGGGAGAGGCTGACAGGTCAGAGAGAGTGGGGGACTCAGGAGCAAAACCCTGTCTAGGGCTCAGGCTGGGGCTCGGGCAGACAGCCACAGCGTGGCCTCCAGCCCTTCCCCACCAAGTCTGTCCAGGAGCACCCCCTGGCAGCTTACAGGGGCCACACTCCCCTGGTGTCTTGGGGCACAACTGTCAGCAGGGCTCACAACTGGTGGGCCAGTTAATAACCGTGCTCCCCTGCACTGGACGCCCAGACAGGCCAGGCACCCAACACCCTCCCATTAATCCCCACATAGCCGGCAGAGAGGAGGGGCTCTAGCATGTCCACAGCCTGCCCCAACTGGGGGGACGTGGACATAGGCTGCCCAGCCCCCTCCCTGCCTGTACCACCCAGGTGGAGAGAAGGTGAGCAGACGTGGAGGGGGGGTTTTGGGGCACCACTGCCTTCCTGGGCCTACAGCAAGGACCTCCCTCCATCCTCCTGGGGCCTCGACTCCCAGGGCCAGGGGCCGACCGTCCCTCTTCGGATGGCCGAGCAGCCTAAGGATCAGGCACCACCTTAAGTCGTTTTAACCACGTACTTTCCACACAAGGTAAAGAGCACAGTACCGTGACCACCCAACTGACCTAATAGACGCAGGGGTCCCAGCAGGCACCCTCAGCCCCCTCCCAACCCAGCCAGAGACTATCACTGTGGGGACTCAGCTCACATAGGGGTGGCTCACCCACGGACCTCGCCCCAGAGGGTTCCCTGGTCTGACTCCCACCCCAGAGGACTCCCAGGTCTGACCTTACCCTGAGGGCTCTCTGGTCGGACCCCCCCACCCCAGAGGGCTCCATAGTCTGACCTCATCCTGAGGGCTCCCTGGTCTGACTCCCACCCTGGAGAGCTCCCTGGCTGACCTCGCCCTCTACCTCCTGCCCCTGCCAAAGCTGAGGGGGTCACTCACCCCTGCTGTACCCCCTCCACCGCTGGCTGCCACTGCCGGCCCCTCTGAGCTGGAGCCCACCACCTGGAGGGAACAGAGACAGCCAGCATGAGCGAGGATCCCTGGCCACGTGCGGACACCAGCGCCGCACTGACCACTGACAACACCCCCAGCCCTTCCATCTGGCCACAGGGTCAGTGTTTGCTGGGACTTTGGGGACACACTCCTCCCTGGGCCAGTGTGGGACGCCCCTGGAGCCTGCAGCAGCCCCCCGCCCCGTGCCATCGTGTCACCCGCAGGAAGCGGCCCTGGGTTCCACTTCCACCCTCAGGCCTTCCAGGGCCTGGGCAGCCTGGCTCCTCGGGCACTGCTGTAACCACAGACATAGTTCTGAGTCCACAAGGCCTCTGTTCAAAGAAGCTTGGGAGAGATGCAAAGTTTTCTTCTAAAATATATTTAGACAGCAAGATAAATGGATGCAAACGTTGAGTGACCGATAAGGCCATGAGGAGGGTGCCAGGCCTGGTGCTGGGGACATAGGGCTGCTGGGCTGGGCTGGGCCGGGCATCCTTGGTTTTAAGAGCACCTCTGGCAGGAGGTGGGCGTGAGGACCCTCACTCTAAAGGCAAGGGCAGTTGTGTCTACAGGAGGGGGCTCTGGCCCCCATCGGGCTCCCAGGGGGCAGCTGCAGCTGACTTCCCCCAACTGGCCCTGGGCAGGGCCCCTGCCTCCTGGCTCCCCTTGGCCCCAGGGTGGCTCTGTATGGGGTTAATGAGCTGCCCGCATTGGTAAGATCCCAGCCCCACCTCACATGTGGCTTCATGCAGGCCCATTCTTCCCGCCTGCCCCTCGTGAGGCCTGGCCCCCGTGCTGGTGCTCAGCAAAGGACAGGCAGGGAGCGATGCCTGCCTGCCAGCCACTGGTCCTTAGCACAGGGAGCATAGGGGACCAGCTTCCCTCGGAGATGCCAGCCCTTCCTCCAGGGGCCTGGGGCATACCCCCTCCAGGTCCCTCCCTCGTCCCTAGGACACTGGTGCTCACAGGGGAATCTGGAGGGAGGGATGGGTCCTCCTCTTGGCCGAAGGAGCCGCTGAAGGCCTTGAAGGTCTGGCTGTTCTGCTTGTGCCTCTCGATGGTGGCCTCAATGACCTGAGACAAAACCAGAGAGCGAGGGTCCTCAGCAAGCTCGCCCTCGAGGGCAGGACCCAGCGCGCCTCTGTCCCCGCAGATAGGTCCTGTGGTCATGCATGTCCCCAACTGACCGGACACAAGTCCCAGGCCCCCCCTGCATGCCGCTGGTGCCTCCCACAGCATTCCAAGCTGCTGCGGATGCTTCCCGGACACTCCACGCAGATTGGCAGACATGGTTCTATCTCCTGCATTGGCATGTCCCCCTCACATCTGTTCGAATTTCCTTTTTCTCTCTTTGCCCAGCTTTCTATCCTACGAATTCTAGAAGCCACAGCTCTTCCCAGTTAATGCTCTACCAGGATCCTTGCCTCAGCCTCTGCTCTGACCTTCGCCCTCATGGGCTTTGGTCTCTGTTCCCTGTGTCCTACGAGCCAAGTCTGCTCTGGCTGCCCCAGGACACTGATCAGCTCCCTGCCTGGCTGACCACCCTCAGGCCCCCACCCTCTAAGGCCAACTGCTCATCCCACGTAACCTGCTGCTCCTGCTGGCTGGCGGTGGGGAGAGGGTGAGGGTCCCCTTGGGCCCCCCAGACAGTGCAGATCCACACCCTGGGTGAGGGCCCCCCACCTGCCTGCCTCCAGCCCTTCGCACTGGCATATTTACAGCAGCTAAGCAACTGAACGGACAGGCTGGCAGCATCTGAAGGGACTTAGCAAGGGTACTTCATCAGAGGGACGGACGGATGGACAGACAAAGCCTGGGGAGTCACAAGGCCACTCCATCCTTTGTTTCAGCATTAAATGGCCATACTGTGCAAGAATCTGGTCACCTGATTACTTTAAAATTTTAGGAGCTTCACCTGAATCCACTCTTTTTTCTCCTCTTCTGTCCTACAAAAACAAACACAGTATCTTATTAACCTGGCCTTAAATACTATTAACCTCCACACTCCTCTCAACCCTGGGGCACACAGCTGAGCTGCTCACAGCCTCCAAGTGCAGCTCAAGGCCTAGAAGATAGTCCTTGAGTGCCTGGTACACTGTGGGCAGGCAGGGTCAGATGCAACGGCGGAGGGGGGCAGGTGTGGAGTCAAGTGTGTCCAGGTGGGTCAGGTGTGATCAGATAAGGCAGGTGTGACCAGGTGGGGCAGGTATGGAGTCAAGTGTGTCCAGGTGGGTCAGGTGTGATCAGGTGGGGCAGGTGTGGAGTCAAGTGTGTCCAGGTGGGGTCAGGTGTGACCAGGTGGGGCAGGTGTGGAGTCAAGTGTGTCCAGGTGGGGGCAGGTGTGATCAGGTGTGGCTAGGGGAGTCAGGTGTGTCCAGGTATATCCAGGCAGTGTCAGGTGAGGTCAAGTGCAGTCTGCAGGCCCCTCTATAAGGGATGTAAATCAACACCTCCTGGGACCACAACAGGTACTTACAAAGATCTCACATCGCTGGAGGAAATGAGAGATGGGATCTCCCACACATTCCCCCCAGTGAGAGCACAAGCCTGGCCCCAATCACTGGGGGGTGGGACAATGGCCTCCAAAACTTAAAGCAGATGTGCTACCCTTTGATCAGCAGCTCTTCACTAAACTTTCTGATGGACAGAAGAACAAATATGCCCTAAACTGGCATGAGAATGCTGAGTGCAGCACCTTTGCCACGGCAACCTGGAAGGAGCCCGGGTGCCCGGGAACAGGAATGGGTCGGGCGATCGTGATGGAGAAGTACACTGCTTCTGGAAATGAGGCTCGGATATGGGATGATGTCTGGCAAATTAAGTGAAAAAAGCAAGAAGCGGAACGGGCTATCCAATAAATAGCTGTGTGTGATTTTAAAACTCGGGACACGTTCGTGCACACAGAAGTCTGGGAAAGACTCCTCAGAGGTGACTGAGAACGTCTGCTGGGCAGGGGAAGAAAAGGGCCAAGGCTCATTTTCATCGACTTCCCTTCGGAACTGTTACATTTTAAACCACAAAATCAGTGATTATGATGAACCAAAACCAACATATCACAAGGTTATCCTGTTTAGAAAAAGGAGCCAACAGCTGAAGTGTGGAGTCACAACAGCAGGTGCTGGGACGGCCACCCATACCGAGTCTGCAGCTCCAGGCACCGTCTCCTTCCCGTTATGATGAACGTGGGCGCCGCATTTGGCTTGACGATATCCTGCACCTAAAGGCCAAGGGCCAAGGACATAACAAAACAACCGGTTGCTTAGCGGGCCCGGAGGGGCAGCCCCTGTGCTCTCAGACACAGAGGTCTTTCTTGAGGAGGGGGCACAGGCGACCCAGTGGGCGGGACACTGGGGGAGCTGGTCCATGAAGGAGAGCTAGGACCTCTCATCCTCTGCACTTGGAATGGTGCTGGCCAAACCCTCCCGCCTGCCGAGCTTTCCAGCAAGTCAGCCGCCAGCCCCAGACAAACGGAGGTTTTCCCACGCCACGAGGCTCTCTACCGCTCTGCAGGGGTCTCTGATCCACCAGCCCCTATGGTGGGAAGCCACCCCTCATCCCCGATATCCCACCCCCAAGACGCTGCTGGATGTGGCCCTCAGGCCCCCCACTCTCAGCACCACAGCCTGGCTGTAGTGGGAAGTGGGCCCAGAGAGAATCTGACTGAATCAGGCCTCAGAGCAGGAATTTCCCAAATGCCCCAAAGTTGAGGGTTTCTGTGTTAGCACATTTAGTTACCCACCCACCACTAATTTCTTACATAAAACATCTATAAGAATCATTTCTTCTAACTATGAAAAAAATTTTTTTCCAGTAGTTTTTAATTTTAAGGATGTTTCTTGAGCTGGGGCTCAAAGAATTTCAAAATAAGAAGTATTTTTTCTTGTATCCCTAAGGCACACCTTCACATGTGAATACTGACTGAGTACTTGATCCAGTCGTATTTGTGGAGTGGGGCGTTTACTCAGAGCCCTCCCCACAGGAGGGGGGACAGAGTCTTGCTCTGTGGCCCCCAAGCAGGAGATGTGGAAAGGCTGAGGCCGTAAGGGGCGGCAAGGACAACACGTCGTCCAGACCCTGAGCCTGCAGAACATCATCTGGACTCTAAGCCGGTGCGGGAGAGGATAGTGCATGGGACCAGGGGACCAGGGACTGGGCAGGGAGGGCACCCCGTCCACTTTCACCCCAAGCTTCGCCTTCGGGTCTGTAAATGAGGCTCTGAGCACCAACCTCACAGGGACGGAGGTTGGCCCCGGCCTTCATCCTGCACACACAGGGCAGCAGCACCCGGGTGGGGAGGCCAAGTACGGGAACAGGATCCATGCACAACGCCAGGCTGAGTGGCACTCAGAAATGCCCAGGCCACACGTGGGTCACAGACAGAGATGAAACTTGAAAAGTGGGAAGCAGGCCAGGTGCACAGTGGTGACCCTCCAGCAGCCAGAGTTCAGTGTCCCCACCTTGTCCAGCGCCCCGCCAGGGGAGCAGGTGAGAGGGCAGGGCTTACCCACCTGGAGGCCCGAAATGTCCATCTTCTCCCGGACACTGAACTTCTGGCCCATGAGCCGCAGTTTGGGCACACAGTAAAGGATCATGCTGTTGAACTGCAATCGAGACAGGTACAGGGTGAGGGGTGTCACCCCAACAAAGGAGGCTCGACAGAGAGGAGGCGGGAGGCATGGCTCTGCAGCGAGGCTGGGCAGGGCGTGGCTCCATGGCGAAGGGGCGTGGCTGTCATGGTGACGGTGCGTGACAGACAGGAATGGGCAGGGCTCTGGTGGAGGGCGGGGGGGGGGCAAGGGCGTGGCTCCCGGGGTGAGGGAGCTTGGCAGACAGGACTGGGCGTGGCTCTGGTGAAGCGGGTGGTGGACAGGGGCGCGGCAAACGGGGCTGAGCGCCGCTCTTTGGCGAAGGGCGTGGCGCTGTGCTAAAGGGGCGTGGTGGGGCGTGGTTCTGGCAGCGCAGGATGGGGGCCCTGGGGCGGGGCGGGGCCTGACCAGGAAGAGGTGCCGGTCTTGCGCTGTGCCGTTCTTGGCCGACAGCTTCTGGATCGGACCCTCCTTGATCAGCTCGTTGGCGGGGTTGACGATGTCCTCCTCCCCACCCAGTCGCTCGTACACCTCCAGGAGCTTGTGCATTTTCTCCTGTGCGAGACACAGGGCTCAGGCCCGCGGCGGCCGCAAGGGGACCCTGGGGTGAGGGGATCCCGCCCTGCAAGCATGGCCCGGAATCAGGGAACCAAGACCGGGCAACGAGCCTCCTTATAATGGGGTGGGCTGGAAAATGCGTCTCCTTCCCGTTATGATGAACGTGGGCGCCGCATTTGGCTGGGCAGTGAGGGATGGACCCATGTTCGCCCGCAGAGAACCGCTACCACCACTGCTGCGGGCCAGGCTATGCCCACACGCAAGGCAGGTATCAGCTCATTTAGTTCCTGCATTACCCCAGGAGGTAGGGGCCATTTTATCCCCTATTTACGGACCAGGAAACTGGGCTATGGACAAACCCAGTGAGCCGCTAGAGAACCAGGATGGCCCTTCTGCGGTCAGAGGAGATATTTCAAGCTGTTGCTGCTCTTGCCCCGGAGTCATCACTGCCTGTGGTGACCCTGCCTGGTTCCCTGTTCCACACTTAGACCATGTGGCCCAGTGCCCTCATGACCAGACCTCTGCCAGTCTGCAGGTCCTCTCCCTCTGGCCTCAAGACTGGCAGGGTGGTCAGCGGCCAACCAGTGCCCCTGGGCTGTGATAGGAAAGGGGTGTCAGCCTGTGGCCCCAGCTCTGAGCCCAGAAGCCATGGTCCCTGACCAGTTGCTACCAGCCCCCCGAGGAAAGAATGCAGTGGAAGGCTGGGAGAGCTGGGCTTGCAGTAACACTAGTCTACGTCATAGAGCCTGGACTTGCTATGCCACAGGGGCTGCTGCCCTCACACCTGGCCAATCTCGGCCTACACAGCCTGTAAGCAGGCTAGTTTGGCTAGCCCTTTCACCTCTGGTCAAGACACAGGTGGTCGATGTGCGTGTGGGGCCAGAAAGGGGAGTTGGCATGGAGAGTAAGCAGAAGCAGGCAGGGGAGTGCCAAAGGGCCTTGCATGTACTGGGGGACTGGGTGTGCACCCATTCTGGACTAGGGGAGGATGCACCTGCCATGTACTAGGGGGGCGGGTGTGCACATGGGACAGCTAGAGGATTCTGAACCCAGAGCAACAAGACAGGGTCCCTATAGGAAGCTCTGAGCTGGGGAAGTGTGGATCAGAAACTGAGTAGACGGCAGGTGGGGAGGCTGGGAGAAGCCGGGCAGTGGTCCAGGCTGAGGGGGTGGGGACCAGCGGGCGTGTGAAGAGGCTCCTACAAGCACACACTGATCATTCCCTAAGGCCATGGCCTGGGGTAAGACCGGGACCCAATGCCAGAGCCCCCCACCTATCACCATGGCAAAGGCCTCAGCAGACCAGGAGAGGGAAGCATGACAGGTGTGCTGTAGGTGGGAAGGCCTGGGGTGAGGTCTCAGGCCTTGTCCACACCCCTCAGAGATGAAACCCATGGGGGCTCCCCGAAACATCCATAGGCCCCATGTGAGCTCAGGACCGCAGAGCTCTGAGAAGCAAGTCTTTCGCCTCCACGAGATTTAGTCGTGGGGAGGTGGAAAGGGACGTTTGACAGAAAGGACCCGGAGTAAACCATGACCTGTTTGGGTTGCAGTGGATACCCCACCATGGGCCTAATCTCTGGCTGGTCTGTCCTGGGGCCCCAGAGCAAACCTGGGGACAGGCACCTAAGGAGAACACAGCACTGGGCCGCACATAGCAACGGCCATGCTAAAACAAGTCCCTGCCTCTCACTTCTCATGACTGAGAGACATGGGGTCAAACAGATATCTATTTCACCTTTTTTTCCTCTCAAAAAACAGCAGTGCCTGTGTGAAGATAAACATATCTCAGGATTGGGAGACACCGGGGTGGGTGGGGACTGTGGCGGCCTGGAGAAGGGCTGAAGGCACAGGCTGTGGGGCGGGACTTACAGGGTTTCTCAGGAAATCCAGGAGTCTGGATTCTCCTGTGAACTGCCCTGATCTGTAATCCTGGGCAAGGACTTAGAAATTCTGCCAAGGCACCGTGCAGGCCACACAAGGGACAAGGCCACCGCAGAGAACTCCCTGATCCACAGACCATGGGCTTTGGAGGTGTTACAACAACAGGGGGACAACAACAGGGGACACTCTCCACCTCTGCGCTGTGTCCCGAGGCGGGGCCCTCAGGAGGTGAAGCTTAGACGAGGTCATGGTCTTGGGGGTGGGCGCCCCACGATGGGGTCACAACCCTGATGAGACATCAGACAACATGCTCTGCCTGCTCAGAAGCCGGGGACAGAAGCTGCTGGCACCCAGCTGCGAGATACACAGTGTGGCCAGAGCCTGTCTGTGGGATTTTGTTACAGCGGCTGGTGGAGACAGGCACCGGCTGAGATGGAGCCATAGAGCTAGGAACCGGCAGGCCTGTCTCTCCTGTGACGGAGCCCCTGTCCATGCGGGGTGTGCCTGCTGTGGGGCCCTCGGGCATCCTCCATGAGCTCCACACTCACCATTTTCCGAATGGCAGCGTTGGAGTGGTTGGCAGCGGTGGAGATGAGCTCCAAGGACCCTGCAGGAGGAAGACGCAGAGTCAGGCTGTGGGGCGCCTGCCGCCTCGCCAGGGGCTGCCCTGCTCCCACCCTTCCCTGTGGGTGTCGAGGCTGCTCAGGAGACCTGGCCCTGGGTTGGGCCCTGCAGACACACTCCGTTTGGTGAGGGGGTCTGGGGGGGCTGGCATCCCACTCCCCAAGCCGCCCCCAGCCCCATGAGGCCCTTCCTGGGACCTGACCTCTGCCAGCATCAGCAGCTCCCTCCCCAGAACCAGGGTCCCCCCCTCTAAGGGCAATGGGGGCAGGGCGGTTTATCCCTTGCAGTTACTTCCTGAGATGTGCTTAGGGAGCACTGGGCAATCTGCCCCGCTCTGTCCCTGTCCCTGTCTATGTCTCTCTCCTCTCTCCCTGTGGGTTCCCAGCAGGGGCCCAAGCTCCCACGTGGCCTGGTGGCTGCTGGGCTCACTTTCTGCGTCCTTCCGATCGGGGGCATCTCCTGGGAGCCTCTTCAGATAGTCCTTGAGTAGCAGTTGGTAGCGGGGGACCCTCTGCACGGGCTCCAGCATGTGGTGCTGCAGCGTCAGGTTCCCACACACCTCTTGCTTCTGTGGGGGAGAAAGGCAGCACGTGGCACCTGCAGAAACACGTGTGGACCTGGCCCCCGTTTCTGGCCTCCGTGGCACCTGGACTCTGCTGACTGCAGACTACATTACAGCAGGGTAAACCGAGGCCTGGAGAGACTGAACAATGGAGCAAGGACCCAGACCCCCGTGCAGACTTTTATAAAGGTCCTCGGGGGAAAGAACTCATCCTTACGGGAAGGCTTCCCTCCCAGGTAACCCCCCACCCCACGTTCACTTGCACGATCGCTTACTTGGGTGCCGGGGGCTGGGTCTCTTCCCTCCCTGGACACCAGGGAGGACTGGCCTCCCAACTACGACGGGGAACCTGCGGCCTTGCCGAGAAGCTGCTCTGAGTGTGGCTGTGTGCTCTGATGGAAGTGCGACCCTTAGCACAGGGGTGGGTGCTCAGGCCTCGTGCCCCACCCCCCACCCTGGCCTTCAGTCACTGCTCGGCCACCTCTGCCACCTCAGTGCTGTCCCACTGGGGGCCCCTGCCCTTGCTGTCTGCCTCCACTCCCTGCAGGTGCCCAGGCATGTGCTCCTTGGTTAAGATGCTCCAGCCTTTCCCCTGAGTTTGCTGGGGGCTACGCTGTCCCCCTGCTTCTCCCTGCCTGCCACCCGTGCCACTCAGGGCTCACAAGAGAACAGCCTCCAGCCTGAAGGAGCTCCAAGTGCCCTTGACATGACAGGGCCCAAGGAGCGCCGTTGGCAGCTATCACAGAAACAACCCTTCTGTGGGAGGCTAATCAGGGGTGACCAGGAACCAAACATTCACGGAATTCCAAAGTATCTCCCTGCAAGAAACTTCCTAAAACCATGAGGGACACACTTTGGGGGGGGGCACATGCTTTCTGGGAGAGGAAACCACAGTGCACCTCATGCCCCAGCAGGAGTGCATGGCCCCCACACCTGCACCTCCCTAGACCTCCAGCCTCCCAGTGCTCTGGCCAGTGGTGCTGACACAGGCAGTGTGAGCTCCTAGTTCCTGCTGGTCACTCAGGGCTGGGCCTCGGCCACGGGCACAGCCTGGGAGGCTGGAGGGGGCAGTCTGTGCACACAGCTGGGGCTGGCCCGACCAGGGGTGAGGGAGCTAAAGGAGGAAGGACTGGAACTGTCCCCTGTGGGCAGGGACACAGAGGCATCTAGGACTCCACACTAGGAAATCCTGGGTGACCCGAGGGCCACAGGACCAGGGGGGAAACGCAGAAGGAGGAACGTGTGTCCGTGGGAATGCACATAGGCACACACATGTATGTATAGTGTGTGTGCACAGATGCAGTATGTGACGTTCAAGCGTGATGCTCAGGGTACACAGGATATTGGGACAAGTAGCTAACTATTCACAGAAAGAAAACTGGACTCTTACCTCACACCACAACCCACCTGGAAACTATTCTGGAATAGCAATTCTAATTTTTTTAAACAAAGACATAACATTAGAAAAAAAATTATCTAATCACGGGATAGGAAATACATTTATAAGCATTACTTTGAAGATTTTTAAACCATTTTTTAAAAAAATTTTAAAAAAATAGGGGCGCCTGGGTGGCTCAGTGGGTTAAAGCCTCTGCCTTCAGCTCAGGTCATGATCCCAGGGTCCTGGGATCGAGCCCGGCATCGGGCTCTCTGCTCAGCAGGGAGCCTGCTTCCTCTCCCTCTCCCTCTGTCTGCCTCTCTGCCTACTTGTGATCTCTGTCTGTCAAATAAAAAAAAAAAAAAATTAAAAAAATAAAACCATTATTTTATTTAAAAACTGGTGAATGTGGAGCGCCTGGATGGCTCAGTCAGTTAAGCATCTGCCTTCAGTTCAGGTCATGATCCCAGAGTCCCAGGACTGAGCTCCGCATCGGGCTTCCTGCTCAGCAGAAAGCCTGCTTCTCTCTTTCAGATAGATAAATAAAATCTTTTTAAAAAGTTGTTTTTAATTTAAAAATCTTTAAAAAAAAAAAAAGACTTCACTTTAATAAAGAAACTGGTAGAGGTGGCGCCTTAAAAACTAAAAATTTTGTTTAGTAAACAATGTTGTAAATAAAAATCAATGGGGAAAATAACTTGTAAGATACAGGACAGATAATAAAAAACATTCTTAATGTGTAAAATCCTGGCAAATTGAGTTCACGGAGGGAGGAGGGGACTTTGGAGAGAGGCGGGAGTCACAGTCACCTTGGGATCCAGAGTCCACCCAACAACAATGACCATACAGACCACACACCTTCTCGGAGGCGCTCCCCGTCCGCTGAAAGGACAACAAGGACTTGTGTCCCGGAGCGATTCAGCAGAGCAGGACACGGGCTGCAGCTTCCCAGAATCTCCCCACGCTCCCGAGACCCCAGCGTGTGCCGGCAGCTGGCCTACCTGGATGCTGTGGACTACGTCTTTGAACACTGGGGAGCGCTGGGTCCAGGCGCTCACCAGCTCCATGGCCCGGTCAAAGTTCTTGACGTACTCGCCGTACATCTTGAGAAATGGGGCCAGCTTCTGCAGGATGTCCCCGAGCCGGGGGTTCGTGTCCCTTTGTGGGGGGAGAGAGGTCATCAGAGGGGCCAGGGTGGGACGGGGACGTCACCCGGAATCCATGGGGTAATGGCCCGACTCCCAGCGCTGTGTGATGGTGGGCAAACTGGTCACCCTCTCTGAGCCTTACTTTCCTCCCTGGTACCATGTAGGGGGGAACCACGTGTTACACGGAGGTAAACGAGAGGATCCCGTGGGCTCTCCAACTGTGCGGACACAGGACCGCTGCTCCAGGCCAGGGGTGCTAGCGGGGACGCAACCGCTGAAATGGCAGGCCGCTCATCAGAGAGAATCTATGAAGCCCCATGTCACCCCTTAGTGGAGCAAATTTCAGGAACAATGGGATGAGTGGACTCTGGCAATCTTATTGGAAAGCAGCAGGTTAGTAATAAACCCGGCACGGACAGGGATTTGAAAATAAATTTCAAGAAGCCGAAAATATACCCATAGTCTTTAACCTTTGAACCACAGTTCTAAGGGGAAGTGACCCTAAGACATCATCAAAAGCAAGGAGGCGTGTGCAAAAAGCCACCAGGGTGGCATCATGAGACCGCGCTCTGGTCACCGTCCCTGGAGGGTGGGCTGCCTGTGCAGGTGGGCGGGTGGACCGTCTTCCCTGCGGTCTGTGCACGAGAAGTCTCTCTGCGGTCTCGAGGAGAAAACCCATTTTTAGCAAGTGTGGACAGAAGGTCAGCTGGGCTCTGGGCTTTAATCCGATGGCCTTAGGGACACAGTATGACCTGCTCTGGAGGGGGAGTGAGCTCCTCATGAAGACCCACAAACAGGGACCCTCACTGGGCTGGGCAACTGAGGGGACGCCCGCGAGTCAAGGCTCCTGGCCTCTGCACCCTCACTCGCCGGGCTGCTGCTGGAGAAGGGGCTCTCGGGGACTGAAGGGGCTGAGCTCCCGACGCACCCAATGCCCCAGGAGGGAGCCAAATGCCCTCAAAGCCAGGCGGGAGAAGAGAGGAAAGAGCAGACAGCCCAGAGCAAAGCAGCAGCGCGGGGAAGAGTAGGGGACGCATGCGAAGTGGGCAGTGGCAAGTGGAGGGCCACGCCTGTGATGTTTTACTCTCCAGACTCAGAGTCGAGCCGGTGCTCCACGAAGAACAAGCAGACGTGGCAGAGGGACAGAAGGACAGCCCCTGGGGGCAGCCGGAGGATCCAAAGTGCCCTGGGAAGGGGAACGCCTCAGTCACCAAAGCAAAGGTGGAGTATGTTGAGGAGGGAAAACAAACCTGCGAGGTCCGTTTACTTGCTGTTTGGTGTTCACAGACCCCACAGAGCCTGAGCGGGGATTAAAGGAGCTTTCAAGTGCAGACGAAGCAGCGGAGGTGTGGGGACGCTGTGGGTCAGCGCTGCCCCAGGCCCGTGCAGGGAAGGAGCCAGGACCCGCGAGACAGCCCCCCACCCCGCCCCGTGCCTGTGTGTCTCTCAGGCACACAGACTCCGCACGGAGAGGCTGACCACGAGAATCCCGCACAGCTGCCGTGACCCAGCGGCCAGGAACCAGGGGCCACGCTCACCACTCCTGAGTGATCCGCGTCTGCAGCTCGGGGAGGAGGAAGTGCCCATGGAAGCGATAGATGGACGAGATGTTGGAGAAGATGCCCGTGGTGACCTCCGAAGGGATGCCGGCTTCTGTCAGCTGGGTGCAGAAAACCTGGGGGTACAGAGGCCCGTACAGTGGGTGCTGAGCTGGGGGGAAGGGCTCCTGTTTTCTTAACGAACCTCCGCTTCATCAAACGGGCTCAGACCTATGGTTTTAAAGCCAGCTCACTGATGGCTAAGGACTGCGGGGGAGGCAGACACGGTCCTCGGCTGATGCGGACTTGCTGTCCCACCTCTGCCCACCTCTCAAGGGAGCTGGAGGGTCCGGATTTCCTTTCTCCACTCTGTGAGCTACACATGGACGCGATACCTGGCAGAACTCTGGGTGTCCACCAGAGGTTTACTTCCTGTGCTCATGAACCCGGGCTGCTCTGGGGACAGCAAGCTTCCCAGAGCCCCTTTCCATGCTCAGATAATGCAACTGCCGGGAAGAACCCCTCCAACTAGGTGACGGGACAGGACCTTGGCCCCAGAGCCCCAGGCTCAGACAGCGAAAAGGAGGAGTTTGTGGAGGAGACTCACAGTGGCCTGAGTTTCAGTGTGAAGGCCCTCATACTCCAGCTGGAAGGGCCAGCCAGCACTAAGAGATGGGGACTTTGCCTCTGAAACCAGCAGCCCACAGAGGCGGGACCCCAGCCCTGGGGGGCTACCTGGTCCAGCAGGTACAGCCGCCGTACATAGGTCTCCTCGGTGTGCAGGAGCTCCTGGGCGATGTGGAGCAGCTTCGGGGGCTCGGAGCACTGCAGAGAGAGGAACCACAGGTCCCTGGGGAGGCGGGTCTGACATTGGGGGTAACTAGGGGGCCTGGGGGCCAGAGGAGGCCACTAGAACTGGGCCAAGGGGCTCAGTTCTCACAGATGGACTTCTCAGGGAGGTTTCTAGGGAAGGCACAACAGCTCCTGCCAACCCCCCCAACCATCCCAGATACAACTCTGCCCTCCTGAGACCTTGACCACAGAGCAGCTACAGCAGCCACATCAAAATATTTTGTGGCCTGCTGTCAGCAAGACAGCAGACTAGAATGCTACAGGCCCTCCTTTCCCCAGAGACATGGTGCCAACAACGTATGGAGCGGAATCCCTCTGTGAGAACCCAGAGGAGAGCTGAGAAGCTATCGCTCCACATCACGGTAAAACCAAGAAGAGAGTCCAGCAAATGGGGAAACCAGGCAGCATCTGGCACGCCCTTCCCTTCCCAGGCAGCAGAGCATGGCCCACGTGGAATGTAGTCCCTAGGCTGGAGGTCCTGCTCCGGATGGAAATGAGACAGTGAGCCTCACATCCAGGGCTCTGATGTGTCTGGGGCCCGCCTGAGGGACTGCTGGCTTCTGTCTGCCCAACTTGGAGTGCTGTCATGACCCGCACCAGAGTTTGAAAGTCCTGGAAACAGGCCAGCCGTGTGCAAGACAGAAGGCTCTAACTTCAAGGGCTTTATGTAATTTCAATGGTAACCACAAGCAAAATATCTATAGAATATACATGAATGGAAACGAGAAGGGAATCAAAACATACCATTACAAAAATTCAATAAAAAATAAGGCAGGCTCTAAGAAAGGGACAAAAAAGCCACAAGATGTGTGGAAAACAACTATCAAAATAGCAATGATGGGCGCCTGGGTGGCTCAGTGGTTAAAGCCTCTGCCTTCGGCTCAGGTCATGATCTCAGGGTCCTGGGATCGACTCCTGCATTGGGCTCTCTGCTCAGCAGGGAGCCTGCCTCCTCCTCCTGTCTCTCTCTGCCTGCCTCTCTGCCTACTTGTGATCTGTCAAAAAAAAAAAAATAGCAATGATCCCTCCCTATAATTACTTTAAACATAAATGGATTAAACTCCCTAATCAAAAGACATGGATTGGCTGAATGGATTTAAAAAACAGCATCTGACCACATGCTATGCACAAGACAGCTTAGATTTAAGGACACACACACAGGCTGAAGTGGAGGACGGGTAAGATGGGGCAGGCAAACGGACTCTCTCTTCCCAAAAGAGAACAGGAGCGGCCACACTGATATCAGACGAAACATACTGTAAATAAGAAACTGCTACCAGATATAATGAGGAACATCATATGATGATAAAAGGACCAACTCTCTGAGAAGATAAAACAATTAGAAATATTTATGCACCAGGGGTGCCTGACAGGCTCCACTGAAAGAGTGTGGGACTCTTGGGGCGCCTGGGTGGCTCAGTGGGTTAAGCCTCTGCCTTGGGCTCAGGTCATGATCTCAGGGTCCTGGGATCGAGCCCCGCATCAGGCTCTCTGCTCAGCAGGGAGCCTGCTTCCCCCTCTCTCTCTGCCTGCTTCTCTGCCTACTTGTGATCTCTGTCTGTCAAATAAAGAAATAAAATCTTAAAAAAAGAAAGAAAGAAAGAAAGAGTGTGGAACTCTTGATCTTGGGGTCCTGAGTTTGAGCCCCATGTTTGGTGCAGAAAGGACTTAAATTAATAAAAAGACTTTTAAAAAAAAAAAGCTTAAACAAATATTTATGCACCAAACCTCATAAGTCCTAAATATATGAAAGCACACTTTGACAGAATTAAAGGGGAAACAGCAGCATGGTGATTGCAGGAGACTTCAGTGCTGCATTTTCAACACTGGGCAGGACACGTAGACAGAATACCAGTGAGGAAACGAGGGTATGAACAAACACACAGACGCAGACCCCCCACCCAGCAGGAGAAGGCACATTCTTCTCAAGTGCACATGGAACATTCTCCATGATGGTCTATATATCAGACCCCAAAACAAGCATTAACAAACTTCAGACTGAAATCACATAAAGTATTTTTTCCAGACACAGTAGAATGAAACTAGAAATTAACAGCACAAGAAAAACTGGGAAACCCACAGATAGGTAGAAATTAAACAACACAGTCTTCAAGAAGAATTGAAGTCGCAAAGGAAATTAGAAAATAGCTTGAAACAAATGAAAATGAAAATACAAACACCAAAACTTAGGACGCAGCAAACGCCGCTCGGAGGAACGTTTGTAGCTGTAAATGTGTGTGTGAAAAAGGAAGAAAGATCTCAAATCAACGATGTAACTTCACACTTCAAGAGATTAGAAAGAGAACACACGAAACCTAGAGCAGTCAGAAGGAAGGAAATAACAGAGATCAGATCAGAGATAAATGAAACAGAGAACAGAAAAACAATGGAAAAAATCAATCAACCTGAGCTGTTTATTGGAAAGATCAACAAAATTCACAAAACCTTAGCCAAATTAACTAAGAAATAGAGAAAACTCAAATAAGTAATATTAGAAATAAACGAGGAACTATTACAACCGACATCACAGAAATAAAAAGGATCATGAGAGACTGATGCGAACAATCACACTCCAGCAAACTGGGCAGCCCAGACCAACGGATGAATTCCCAGAAATACACCAAGACTGAAGACATGAGGAAATAGGAAATCTGAATGACCAAGAAGGAGTAAGTGGATTGAATATGCAATGAAAAACTTGCCGACAAAGAAAAGCCTGGAACCAGTTGGGTTCACTGGGAAAATTAATACCAATCTCTCTCAAGTGCTTCCAAAACACTGACAAGGAGACAACACGTCTGAGCTCTGAGGCCAACACTGCCCTGACACCAAAGCAAGGCAAAGACCTTCCAAGGACCCTGGAGATGGACGACCCTGGCGCAGACTGATGCAGAAGTCCTTGACAGGACACCAGCAAACCCGACTCAATGGTACAGAAGAGGATTGGACACCAGGACCAGGGGAGGTTTATTCTGAGACTCAACACCCGTGAGAAACACTTGTGATGACCTGTGTCGTTGCAGAAGCAGCCTCTGACGACATTCACTGTCTCCCTGTGACAGAACCACCAGTAAATGGGATTTCCACCACAGGACGAAGGCTGACTTCCGCTCCCTGGGTGGGGGACGCGAGGCATAGGGTCACCCTGAGGACAGACCAGAGCCTGACCGAGCACATAGACCCACATCCGTATTGCAGACATGAAGGCATGGGCTTTCCCCCAGAGCCTGCGTGGGCAGACGGGGAGCAGGCCTGGGGTGAGCACCTGCCCCCCACTACCTGCGAGACGGGAGGCCAGCGGAGCTCCCCCTGAGCACGCCTTGAGAGCCACTGATGGTGCGGCATGTAGTAACCACATCACTTAGTTTCTACGTTGTAGGGCATCTGCACATCTCAGGTCCTTGTCGACCCACGCGCTGTGCCTTTCACGCAAACCGGCCCCTGCAGAGCCACCCCAGCACCTCCGTGGGCTCTCACGGGGCCCCCCGCCCTGGTCACTCAGAACCAGCTGCCACACACCGTGGACAGCTTCTATGCAGCGCCAAGTCATTCAGGCTTGCCAGTCCTAAACCTGCTCACCCTGCCTCACCTGTTCCCTCCCACAGAAACAAGACAGGCCTGCGCGCAGTTTCCACCCCCTCTGCCTCCTGACCCACTCTGGTGCTTCCCGTGTGGCCCCGGGGCCTGGCCTGCTCCTCCTCGTATGAACCACAAGCAACGAACTATCTTTTCAATGGCCGACGCACCCTGACCTCTTAGTGTTTCCATACCCAAGTAATAACAAAACCTACGTTCAAACATGACTCCCAGCTGCCCGCTCCCTTGAAGCTAGCTCACTACAGTGCGGGCACAAGGCTGTCCTTCGTCTGCCAGACCTGTCTTCTGTCACGGGGCCCTTTAGCCAGGACTGTCCCCACCAGGCCAGTAGATCGGGTGCCTCCTATGACGCTTGTGGGACCCTTTCGCACAGGCCATGTCTCTGGGCCAGGCCCTCTGCTTCATTTCCTTGTCCCCATTTCCTCGTACCCCAGTGCAGACCCCAGAGCCCAGGGTGCTGTTGGGACGCAAAGGGGCTCTCTCACAGCGGACCCACCACGGCGTGGGCACATCTGCTTCCCGGGACACCTGCTCCCTTCCCACCCCTGCCACGCCCCATGGTGACCCTTGGTTCCCTGTTCATAACACAGGGGCTCTGCAAGGTGGGCAGCTAGCCCTGACGGAGGGTGTGGTGGTGGCTCCATGAGCACTGAGACCTATGGCCAGAGTCCTGGGGGTGGGGCCCCTGCACCCCCGTGAGGACATGGAACCTAGGCTTGGGAGGTCATCACATGGGGAGCCAGAGCCCCTGCCCTCCCCGCTGACCCACCACCGGGCCTCTCTGACCTCACGAACCCTCAGAAGAGCCCCTGCGACCCCAGGACATGAGGGCGGCCTACCTTGGCCAGGTCGGCAAGGTCCCCTGGGGGGCTGTTCTCGGGGTCGGGCTCCTCACCGCTGCCTTCACCCACGTCGCTATCGGCCACCTCCTGCAGGGCCTTGCCTTCTGGGGCTCCGTCCAGCTGCAGGCCCAGGACGGTGGGGCCCTGGCCAGCCTCGCTGCCCTCCCCGCAGGGGAACTGCTCATTAGCCACGCTGCAGGATGGGCTGTCGATCCCGCTGTCCCGGTTGGGGAGCTTAGCACCACCATTCAGCTCCCCCGAGGGGCCTGTATCCGGGGGGCCATTCCCTGCAGCAACTGGGCTGCCGGGGGTCCCAGGGTCAGAGTCCTTGCCGTGGGCTCTAGGTCCGAGTGGCAGTGCCTGGAGCTTCCCCGGGTCTGCCCTCGGGAGCTCCCGGGAGGAGCAGCCAGGCCCAGAGTTCAGCTCCCCCAAGGCAGCAATGGGGGGCTGGGCTGTTGAGGCCCCCCCTCCTGACTCCATTGTCACAGCTGAGCTCCCTGAGCTCCAGGGGGAGCTGGCCGGAGGGCTGCCTGTTGGGGGAAATGAGCAGGGTCAGTGCCAGGCAGGCACGGACCAGCCCCTGCACGCAGCCCTGAGTGCAGCCCCCAGGCATGTCCACCCAGAGAAGGGTGGAGGTGGGAGAGGGCCATGTGGGGACAGCCCTCCAGCTGGGTCCTGTCCAGACAGGCCTTTGCGGATTGGCAAATGGAAAGCATTTTATTTTAAAAATAAGTAAATTTTTTATGTTAAAAAAAAAAAAGGAAAAGAGATAGAGAGGGAAGAGAAGAGGGAGGTAAGAAGGGGAAGACGGAGGGAAGGAATCCCACAGCGTGAAGCCCCCTGCTGCACAACACGTTTAAACTACATCCACAGAAATAACTGTGGTGAGTGCGGTGGGCCGGTCATCTGTGTGCTCTGCCCCAGGGATGTGGTTCTGAGGGGCCCCCTCTGTGGCATCACTGTGACCCACACTGGCCAGAGACCCCGGCCCAGGGAGGCCAGGGCTTTGTCCCAGATGCCACCCCTCCCCCACAAAGCGCCCTGGAGTCGATGGCTGCTTTCACGGCCCACCTCTCCTGGACACCCTCACGGGAGAGGCGAGAACCATTGTGGGAGTGTCCGGGGGATGAGGCCAGGAGAGATCGACATTCTCCAGAATCTTCCTTTGACTCCACTCACCTGACACCCTGGTCTCCAGGGAGGGCTCCACACCTGGCTCCCTGCGGGCCGTGTGCAGGGTCTGGGTTGGCTGCCTCAGGCGGTAAGCATGAGTGGGGCTGGGAGGCTGGCTGCAAATCTCCTTCCTGTCCAGCAGGTTTGACACAGGGGTCCTGAAACAACACGACAGGAGCATGAAAGCTGCCTTCACCGGCACCCGCGGTGTCAAGCCAGCTCCAAAGGCAGAAGGTGGAAGGGCATCTCTGTGGCCCCGCCCAGCATGGCCGGCCCTGGACAAGTCATAGGCCACAGGCAGATGGAGCACGTGGCTTCCTGCCAGAACACAGGGACAACTCTGGGGGTCTGGCCCAAACCTCCAGGCCAGAACTGACCGTCCCCACCCCTGGTGCCCTTCCTGGGGGAGGTAGAGTCCCACCCAGTGTGCAGAGGGCCAGAGGGCACCTCCCGGCCCCACCGAGCTCCCTCCTGACACCTGCAAACACAGGTGTCCAGGGTTCACACCCACGACCAGCCTAGCAGCCCACAGCTTCTGCACATGCTCCCCTCCTCCCTCGCAAACCAGGCTGAAGAACCATCCATCTCGCCCTCACACAGAGCCATAAAGGTGTCCAGAGCCTTCCCCTCAGCGCCTCGCAGGCAGGAAGACCTCCGGGCATGCTGCCTCCACGTTGGGACCGCGGACTCCGCCTATGACACCTGCCGCACAGCCCCCTTCCCGTGGGGCCAGACTGCTCAGGGCTGGACCTTTCTCTGAGTGGCCCCAAAGCCAGAGCAGGAGGCACATGCACCATGGGCCCCTGCCCTGTTCTTGATGAGCTTCATGGGGAGAAACATGAAGGTTTTGAAACAGAAAGTACTTGCTTTACAGCATTCCTCTCATAGCACAGGAGGTAAACCCAAGGTCCCAGCACGCAGACACGACAGAGCCCTGCAGACGTGCCACTGGAATGCGGGCCCCACGCTCAGCCTCTGTGTGTCAAGTGCGGTGTCTGGCCCCAGGGGAGCCTTGGCAACCCCCAGGGGTCCTGCTTCTGGTCACGCCCCCACCACACAGCGAAGCACAGCGTCCCCAACAGGTGGAAACCAGAGTGGTGCACCCTCCGTCGCATCCCGCTCCTGCGTGGATCCAGCCTCACATGGACCCCAGGGACAGGACGGGAGACCAAGGAGGTGGAGGTCACGGGCAGAGCACCGGCAGGAGAGCCCTGTCAGGGGGCTGAGGCCTGCAGGGTCCCTGAAGATGGTTGGCACACGTGGGAGGGCACCATCAGACTGAACAGGAGTCGCTGGGGGAACAGCAGTGGCCAGGCACAGGCAGGGCAAAGCTGGGCCGCACCGGTGGGGGGGAGGGCACGGTCCACCCCATGGGGAGCTCTGCTCAGGTCCCAGGATGCCCACCTGCTTCCTAGCAGCGTCACGGCTCCCCGAACGGCGTTCAAGAGCAGCTAGAGCCAGGGCAGCTGCACCTCTAGCCTCCAGAGGGGAAAGCCTCCAGTGAGAGCTCGAGGCCTGCGGGAGAGGGACGTCCGGATGCTGTAGACAACGAGCAGGTCTGGGGGGACAGCGACAGAACCATCTACGCTGAAGCACACATAGACGGACAGAGCGATGTGAGCGAATGTCCCGCAGCAAACAGAGGCGTAACCGGACTCCGGACAGGGGAGTGGCGGGAAGTGTTTGCGGAATACAGACCACAGCATTCCTGCATCAACGGAAGTTGTAAACCCACAGAGCCAAGGGTCTCAACCAACGCAGAGCACGAGAAATGTCGGTAAGTAGTTTTCCACACAGAAAGCTCCAGGCTCCAAAGGCTTCAGGGTGAATTCTAGCAAACGCTGGGGACACGAGAAGGCTCTGCAGAACGCTGAGCCCTGAGCGCGGCAGATGTCCACCCGCCCAAGACCAGGTACACACCTGCCTTTCTGACTACACAGAGTTCCAGGAGACGCATGTGAACCTGTGGTCAGAGACCACAGACGGGCTCGCTGTGTTGACCAGGGAGACTGCGTCACAGGTACGCACACGTGTCGCATCTCGGGTCTGCGCTCTGCACATGTGCCGTCCTCCGTCTCAGAATACAGCCCAGACGGCGATGCCTCAGGCGTGAGCCAACTTACCCAGCTGACATTCCCCAAGTGCCATTTTTTAAAAAAGATTTCATTTACTTATTGGAGAGAGAGAGCTCAAGAGAGCAAGCACAGAAGCAGGGGGAGGGACAGAGGGAGAGGGAGGAGCAGGCTCCCCGCTGAGCCATGGGGCTCAGTCCCAGGACCCTGAGGTCACGACTGGAGTGGAACACAGATGCTCAAGCCACTGAGCCACCCAGGACCCTACCCGCGAGTGCCAATTTTATAGAAGGGACAGGGGTCAGGCAGAGCACAGGTGGTACCCCACAGCCTGGGGAAGCTTTGGCAGCCCTGTTGCCCACATGGTCATTCTCATCCAGAGGACTGGGGTGCACCCATCCCCTGGAGACCTTGAGCCATGACCAACTCTTCTTCCAAGGGCGGCAGAACCAGCTCAGTCAGACGGGAAAGCCCAAAGTTCAACATAAAGACATCCCACAGGGACGCCTGGGTGGCTCAGTTGGTTAAGCAGCTGCCTTCGGCTCAGGTCATGATCCCAGCGTCCTGGGATCGAGTCCCACATCGGGCTCCTTGCTCATCGGGGAGCCTGCTTCTCCCTCTGCCTCTGCCTGCCATTCTGTCTGCCTGTGCTCGCTCTCTCTCCCTCTCTCTCTCTGACAAATAAATAAATAAAATCTTAAAAAAAAAAAAAAAAAAAAAGACATCCCACAGGGAGCAGAGTGTGGGGTACAACAGAGACCACTGCTCCCCCAATCGGATTCAGGAAGGTGTGGGATGCAGCCCACGGCCTTGTTCACCTGGGGATTGGTCTCCCTGCTGCTTTTCCAAGTCCAAGGTCAGCACTAGGGAAGGCCAGCCCAGTTCCCACCTGCCCTCTGCACCACACACGGGAGCAGGGGGCACTGGGGAAGGGAACACACAAATGCACACATGCTCACACCTACACACGTGCTTCCGTAACACACGCACACACACACCATGTGCCAGGAGGTGTGCTCAGCACTTCTGGATACTCTCTCACAGACACCAAGGTGTGCGATGTCCTGTGTTTCAGACAAGGAAGCCAAGGCTGATCCTGGTTCACACTGCCACATCCAGGGCCAGTGTGGGGGTGGGTGTGAGCACAGGAACTCCGGAGCTGTGGTCAGCTTTCTCTACCCAGCCCTGGCTCTCACCTTAGAAAAGCTGAGTCACCTAGCTGAGCTCCCAACTGCAGGGGAGCTACAAACACGGCAGGACACAGCCAGGGCCCAAGGCCCCTGACACCCAAGGGTGCCACAGCCCAGCATCAAAGCCCTAACACTGAGCCTGGGGGAGGTTCGGGTACTCGAAAAGGATGGAGAAATTAAACGTCCAGGGTGTTTGGACCATGTAAGTGGCTTTGGAGCCCTGACACTGCCCGGTGGCTGCCCGAGACAGGCAGGGACGCTCCTGCGCATGGACCACAAGGCCGAGCATGGCCCCACCCCCACCTGCTGCCAGGTGTCCCCTCCTTGGGAGCAACACGGGAACCCCTGCTAGAAATACCACCCTCCTGTGCTCGCTTCGGCAGCACCCAGACTAGAAATACCACCCTCCTGTGCTCGCTTCGGGAGCACCCAGACTAGAAATACCGCCCTCCTGTGCTCACTTCGGCAGCACCCAGACTAGAAATACCGCCCTCCTGTGCTCGCTTCGGCAGCACCCAGACTAGAAATACCGCCCTCCTGTCTCTTGCTGCCTGGCACCTGGCACCCTGTATGGTTCCTACCGACAGCAGCCACCTCCGCTGGCCTCTGAAACTGTCCCACCCTGATCAGCACCAGCCTCAGGACTGTGAGAGAGGACAGTGCTTAGTGGGGCTGCTCTCTCCCCACCACGCTCAAGTGGCGGCTCACATGCAATAGGTCACCTGAACAAGCCTGAAAATACACCAGGGGTACCTGCGGTACCTGCACACAGGTCCAGGCGGGGAGACAAGGCTGCAGAATCCACGAGGCCATGCAGCAGTGAGAAAGGCTTGTGACCCGGAGCTGCTGCGCTCCAGGGTCAGGCTCCAGAAGCACAACCTTTGTCCTGGGGCCTCAGCCTGAGGTCTCCACCCTGTCTGCTGAGCACATGGAGACGGGCACTGACGGTGGGGTGCCATGTGCTCTGGGATGTGGTCGGGGTCGGCGGGACCTGGGGACAGGCTGCAGGGCATGCTGAGCACAAAAAAGGAGGCAGTGCTGGGATGCCCTCATCAGCTCACACCATCGCTTAAAGTTATCACGCCTTCAACAGCTGATGGAGTGACCCGTCCTCTTTAGTAAACTTAGAAGTTATAGAAAACCAAAAAGGATATAAACGCTCCCTACCCCTGTGGTGCTGGGATGCCCGTGTGGGCAGCGGCCTGTGGGCGGGATGGCCCCGGTGGGGGCTCCTGGGGGGGCCTACACCTTTTCTGAGAGATGCGGCTGTCTTTCCAATACCGAATCCCAACACCCGGTCCTCGAGAATGCTCTTCTCGTAGAAGAACTGAAAGCAGAGAATTGAATAGATACATGCACCCCCACCCCCGATTGCAGTAGTATTCCTCACAGCAGCGGACGGGGGGCTTAGTGGGGGATGCAGCCCCAGCGGCCAGGGCAGGGGACACATATACAGCTCGTGAACATACTGGTGATGGAACATTCCTCAGCCCTCAAGAGGGAAGACATCCTGACACCTGCCACAGCATGGACGGGCCTTGAGGACACGAGGCTGAGCGCCCATCCCAGAAGGACAGATACCATGTGAGGTCCCTGGAGTCGTCAAATCACAGAGACAGAGAGTGGATGGCGGCGCCGGGGGCTGGGGGACAGTAGTGTTTAATGACGCAGTCTCAGTTTGTGAAGATAGAACATTCTGGAAACAGTGAGGACGGCGGCACCACATGCAAACACATACTGCCACTGGACACTTAAAAGTTGTTTGGATGACAAATTTTACGTTACGTGTACTCTACCACCAATGAACAGCTTAAAAAAAGAATGTGTTTTAGAAAATTCTCATCAGAAGTTGTGTGATTGACGGCTAAGACAATGGTGATTGAAATGCCTAGAACTTACTGCCTGCCTGGGCCCTGGCCTTTCCTCTGCACACCCTGGAAACCCCTGGCGCCCCCCTGAGACAGGCGTTCTGACGAGGACCTGGCCCTTGGGGGGGTGGGGCTCGAACAGAGCAGGGACTGGGGCAGGGAGGGGCGCTGACACAGACCCCAAGGAGAGAGACTGCAGCCCATGCTCCATGCAGCACCCCCACGTGCCCCCCTCCCCAGAGCGAACAGGGGCATCATGGGTCCTCCTGTGTGGATGTGGGGAGGTGGTCGAGCAGCTGGCCTGAGGCTTTGCTCCAGAGTGATGGGCTGCTGCCACTCACCAGCCAGGCCACAGGGACAAGTTGCACTTGCTGAAACTCAGTTTTCTTCTGCCTAAAAAGGGAAATAACTGTCCTGCAAAGGTTCCCAGAGCCTGAGGCAGGCACAGCCATGGTCCCGAACTGCCCACATCCTACCTGTTTGGCAGCCCAGCAGACCTACACCGCCAGGACAGCTTGCCAGGCTGGTGGGCTTCAGCCACTGACATAGCTGAAAGCTCCCAGGTCCCTGTCACCGGCTCCATCCTGCAGGACCTGGTGAGGCCGCGCCAGGGCACAGTACTTACTCTGTGTGCTCAACGCTAGCTTACCAGAAGCTCCCAGACAGCAAGCCCGGAAACGTACTGCGTCTCCTCAAGAAGCCATGACAGAAGAGCTGCCGCAGGCGCACGGGGACAACACAGGGCCGCAGGCCACGCAGGATGCACGTGCATGGGACTGCACGGCACACAGGACACACGCGCATGGGGCTGCATGGCACACAGGTGCACGGTGCGCGGGAGCACGGCACGCAGGACGCATGCGCATGGGGCTGCACGGCGCGCAGGTGCACGGTGCGCGGGTGCACAGCGCAAAGGACGTACGCGCGCAGGGCCGCACGGCACGCAGGCTGCATGGCATGAGGGTTCACAGCACACAGGACAGCACGTGCACGGAACCAGTGGGCCTGCAAAACTGACCACCTGAGCTGCTTCCACTTAATCTTCTTTTACATTTACTTAATGCTCTTCTTTTCTTCCTAATTTTATTTTCTACTGTTAACACTCTCATTCTCGTGTGCTTTATTTGTATTTCCGATTCTGCGTTTATTTCGCCATCACCTGGACTGTAAATATAGGCATCGCATCACTGTCCACTATGGACAAACAGGTCCCCACACGTAACCAGCTGTGCCGCAGCCGCAGCTGCTTCTGGGCGGGCCTGCGAAGCTCTGGAGACCTGCTGGGTGACCTACTGTTGGGCTGCGTGTATGGGGCAGGGGTCCCAGGCCGACTGCTGGTGCCCCGGGCTCCCCACACAACTTCACCTTTGCTTAAGTCTGAGATGTTCACCAGAAGACCTAGTGAAACGACCAGACAAGAACCTTCCAAAAGTTTCCAGTTGCACAGAGATCCTGACCATGCTCCCAGGGCTGGCCTGTGTGCATGCAGCCTGGCGCTGCCCACCCCAGGTGTCAGTGCCATGGGGTTGTGGGGAGCTCCGCACATACACTTCCACTGTTGCCCCCAGACCCCCGCCTGGAGTCACTCTCACTGCCGCCCTGGGGGATGCCTCCCCTCGAGTATAAGTCTCATTGGACTGCACAGTGACCTACTAGGTTATTGCGGGAAAGGGAGACCAGGTTGCAGGTTCAGCCTCCCAAAGCCACACACTTGTAGGGGCTATAGCCGCAGGTCCTGGGCATACGTGGGCTTCATGGGGGCCCATCGGAACCCCCAGAGCCAACTGGAAAGGTTAATTACCGCCCTCCTCACTGCATGCCTATCTGGTGACCAACCATCACCACCATACGTGGGACCCCAGATAGAGGGAACAGCATCCTAGGCAGTGGGAACAGCATCCCAGACGGACGGAGCAGTGTCCCAGGCGGGGGGAACAGCGTCCCAGGCAGAGGGAACAGCGTCCCAGACAGATAGAAGAAGCAGGGCAAAGGAGAATCAGCCCAGCCATCTGGAGACAGGTACCTGGAGACAGAGGAGGTAGAACGCTGGGGTTGGAGCCAGGATGGGTCTCCCAGCCGTGGGCCCAGGGGACCGTGCAAGTGAGTGATGCTCCATTCAGGGCTGGTTTCACATCTGTCCCACAGTCTTCCACATCACCCCCTTTACTGAGGTGCCTCATTCTGCTCATCTGTCAGTGGGGGTCATGAGAGCCCACCTAGAAGGATGTGGAGAGGCCAGTGCTCCTAGCCTCCCAGCTGAGACCAGCAGCTGCACCCCTGTCACTGTTCTGAGTCCCTGGGCTCTTGGGCTCAGGACACCAAAGCCCCATGTGTCCTCAAGGCCTCCGTTAGCCCCCCATCTGAGCTCTGGCCTTCATAGACTAACCAAGGATCAAGCCTCTGGGTGTCAGAGCACACAGTCCTGTCCAGCTCTGGGGCCCCTGAACTTTCGGAGGTGCTGGCCTTTGTGGGGAGACAGACGTCAAACCCAAGGAGCGGAACCAGGGCCTCTGGCCTCCTGCAAACACCCAGCTGGAGCCAAACCACTTCCTCCCCGAGCACCGGCCCCGCCCAGCCCCGCCTAGCCCCAGCGAACTGTCAGGCTCTGAGGGTCTGAGTAGGGCCCAGCTGGGCAGTGTGCAGGCCAAGGCCAAGAGGTCCCTCTGTCTCCTCGCCTTCAGGAGTGGCCAAGCACTCAGCCAGTTGCCTGCAAGCCCCAACAGTCCCAGGAGCCAAGTGCTCTGGGTACAGCTGTGCCCCTGAACGCACCCCCACTCTACAGAACACGGTGGCATCTGGCTCCACCCTGCTGCCACCCAGGACGCCCCCATCCCCCTCCCGGAGTCGGTGCTATGGGCATCCCAGGGTGTCCTCCTCCCCGGTAACCACTACAGCCAAGCCCCATCAGTGTCTCAACTGCATCTGACTGCAGAGGAACCTTCCAGAAACACACATTTTGTGGGAAGGCCTAGCCCCCTAGCGACCATGTGGACCACTCACCCTTCCTCAGCCCAGGTAAAGGAAGACCCACATTGCCCAGGGCCTCGGTGACAGGTGCGCAGGCTGGGCCCACGTGGGGGTCACCCTGATGTGGGTCAGCCTCAGACCCCGGCCCCTCCAGGGCTCAGTTCATCTTAGCAGGAGTCCAAGGCACCCCAGACGACAGCCAGTGCTGTCCCAACTGATGGCACGCTTGCTGCTGGCTCTTCACAGATCAAGCCATGGGCACCCGAGAGCCAAAGGAGCATGGACGTGCCACTCACCCACCACTGCATGGCTTCCGGCCTTGGAGCCACCACCCCAAGCCGCTCTTGCTCAGAGCATCCTTGTCCCCAAAAGCGGCCCCTGGAGGATCAACACAGGCTCTGGTGGCTGGCGAAGACCCCGGAGCTAGCACCACTCACCTGCCTTCCCTGGGAGCGTGCGCTTCTGCCCGGGGCTGACTTAGGCAACAGCAAAACACAACTTCCTTTTGCTGGTTTTGCAACACAGGTCACCAAAGACAGCGGCTTCGCATTTCCGCATTGTCACACACCCAAGTTCACTGGTTCCCCAGCTGCCTCCTCTGTGAAAATGCAGCCAGACTGGCTGGAGAGCCGTCCAGGCCCCCGTGAGCCTCTGCACCACCGCCTGTGGTGGTTTAACAGCTCCGTCCGGGGGTGGAGGCGATGGAGGCCGCTGCCTGCCTCCTCCACCTCGCCTCGTGGGCTGCACAGACCTGTGGGCACACAACACTGGGACCCTCAGGGGGCCCAGCAGGCCTGAGCAGCGGGTTCCCCTAGCTGAGAGGGGGCCCGTGCACGGTCAGAAGAGCACCCTTGTCACGGGGCAGCTCTGTGACCCCCAGGAGGGTAAATGCACGAAGACGCCGAACCCTACAAAGCTCAGAGCGTGAGCTCTTGCATCAGTTCCAGCAGCGGCCACTTCATCCTGCCCTGCACACTTCTTTAGAAACAAGGGATTTCTTTGAACCTTGGTGGCCTTGTTGCTGGCAGGGGGTCACCATAGAGTCCCCCAGGGACAGCGACTCGCACACAAGGAACACACGAGTATGAGGAAGTCAGTACCAGAGCCGCTAACGAGGGCCTTCCTCCAGCGCACATGGACCTGCCTTGTCCCCCCTACCCCACGCCGGGGCACACAGCGGAGGCTTTTCCATGCCCTCACTGGTGGTGTCCGCACAGCAAAGATGCTCCTGTGCTCGGCTGTCTGGGGGCGAGGGGATCAGGCTGTTGACACTACCCACTTCACCTCCAGATAATCCTCCTCTTAACCCCAGATTTGAGGAAGTCTATGAGGAAGTCGGGGACGGACAGGTCACGGGGTAGCGCCGTGTGCACGGACATAGGTGCACCTCCCTCCAGGGACGTGAGGACCCCGGTGAGCATGCACAGCGCCTACCCTCTGGCCTCCAGCCACCGCAGAGGACTCCAAACTGCCCCACTGGCAGGTGACAGGATGGTGGCTGGTGTCCCAGGTACCTGGGCTCACATCCGGGCTCTTGGGCTGAGAACCCTCAGGGCCACACTCCTCTGTCATAAAATGGAAAGGAGACGGGATGCAAGGAACAAGGGCCTGGCCTGTGGCAGGTGGCCCCTCCAGGTGCCTCCCACTCCAGTGGGCAAGAGCCGCACCTGACACCTTTCCCCAGCATGGCCCTTGCCCGCTGACATCCCCGAGCCAGGAGACTGGCGACGAGACCCCACCGAGACCTGAGGACCCGGGCCCAGAGTCCCGTTGCGCAGAAATGGCCTAAGGAGGCAGCAGCTCAGATGTCATGACCCAAAAGGTGATGGACTAAAAGTGGAGTGGGGTGCAGCCCGGCTGGACCACATCAGGCAGGGGACAACTCTACCTGGGCAGTGGCGCTGTCCAACAAGGAACACACTTGCCAAGAACAAGCATTTTCATCATATAGAATATTAAGCAGCATAACATGGTCCCTCGTCACTGTTTCCTCTGCAGTCCTTGGAGCGCAAGACCCTGGGACAGTGGTATGTCTCCCACTTGCTCCTGGAGAGTGGCATGACCACGTGTGCTGGCTCCCGGCCTCCCTGGCAGCAGGCAGGGCCACAGGACCCAGCCCCAGACCACGGGAGCCACAGGAGCCATGTGGCCCTTCCAGCCTGGCCCCTCATTAAACACATAGAGAATTAAAGTGTTTATTTCTTTGTAAACAGAACATATCAAGATAACCAAATTCTTTCTTCTGCCTTTTAGTAGAATTCTAGGCACAAACAACATTAAAATTCCATGTTTACTGAACACGTTGTTGTATCCCAGTTTGGGTGCCGATGGTCTATAGTCTGTGGTATTCTGCCAGCTCACTTCTGGGCCAATGGAGCCCGTTATGTGGGTGCCGACACGGGAAGAAGGGACCCTCTGCACTGTCTCCTCAACTTGTCTGCACATGTAAAATTATTCCAGAATCAAAGGCTTTTAAGTTCAACACTTAGTGTTTCCATGGATGGAGCAATCCTGTGTGGGACCACGAGCCACATTGCTTCTCTCAGAATCTTGTTCTTCCAGCATTTCACGTCCTGGAAAGCTCCCTGTCTCCTCGGTGACCACTGAGGCGGCACAAGGGACAGAGGGTGGTAAAGACAGTCCCCAGACACAGAGCAGTCTGTCTGATGTTTACATGCGTGGGGCTGCCTCGACTCAACCCACACTTGGTTTTGTTGCAAAATGGCTTGGTTTTGTGTTTTAAAGATTCCGATGGCTGACCCCCATTGGATGAGTCCCCTCTGTCATTGAGTCTGGGTGCGGGGTGAGGGATGAGTGGGTCGAGGAACGATCCAGAAACTGATAGCTCAGAGCCAAGGTCAGGAAGAGCTAGCTCGCAGGTAAGGAAATCTAAGTGGCCACACACATGTGATGAAACACCTACAGCCCACACCCAAGTGCCCTCTCTCCGCATCAGGTTAGCAAAGACCCTTCCACAGGATGGCGGGTAGGACGGAAGGGGACATCTGCCCTTTGGCCCAGCACTCATCACTCTGGAAACTGGTGCTGGGCATACCTGCCCAGGTGCAAAACAGCAAGGTGCCAGGTGGTTCCTGCACAGGGCAGGTAGGAGCAAGGCTGGAAACAACAAAGGCCCACCTGGAGGGAGCCAGTGGGTCTACCACGTGGTTCCCGATCAGCACAGAGAAGCACCTAATGGGCAGAGTGGCCAGACCTCCTCATGGGCAGACACAGCTGGTCACTAGAATGGTATGAAGTACCTGGCCGCCAGACATTCTAGTTATGAGCTCTGCCAGCTTTTCTGGGAAAACGTGCCTCCCTCTCTACGTGGGGGAAGCACAAACAGGGCAAATTATTGATGCTTGATAAATGAATTCCTGCATCTTTTCCATAAGTTTGAAAAATTTAAAAACTGTTTAAAATCTTATGGATGGAGCAGGGTGGGAGTGAGAGCTTTCTTGGATCTTTTTGGTTTTTTAACCATGTAACCATATTGTCTACTTTTAAATTTAATAATTTTTAAAAAGATTTTTATTTATTTATTTGACAGACAGAGATCACAAGTAGGCAGAGAGGCAGGCGGGGGTGGGGGGAAGCAGGCTCCCTGCTGAGCAGAGAGCCCAATGTGGGGCTCGATCCCAGGACCCTGGGATCATGACCTGAGCCAAAGGCAGAGGCTTTAACCCACTGAGCCACCCAGGGGCCCCTGAATTTAATAATTTTTATATGACCATGATGAAGACACAAATTTTAAAAATTCCACTTCTTCTCATGGCTTGTCCCCATGGCAAAGGCAGCACAGAGCCAAGACATAGGCTGGGGCTCCACAGGCACAACACAGACAACAGAGGGAGCATGGGGCAGAGTGAGGATAGGAGGGAGCACGAGCAAGCACAGGGGAGGATGAGGACAGGAGGGAGCACAAGGAGCAGAGGAGCATAGGGTGGGAGCATTGCTACTCCAGAGAAGAAGGAAGGCGTGAAAAGGAGCTGACAGTGGCTGAGGAGCACCCCTCTCCCTCACCTTGTGGACAGCGACCTGGAGGCTCGACGGAAACAGAGCAGACACGAGATGCTCACACCCCTGCCCCCTGCAGCCCCTCCACACATCCGTCCTTAGTCCCACAGTACAGCTGTATTTGCAAGGTGGAAAATCGGAGATATGAGTGTCTGACAATGGAGAATAGCACAGGTAGGGTTTCTATAATAAGTAAAATGATTTCATTTATTAAGTAAGATAATTACTATAATAATGAAAGCATATTAAGTTAAAAGAAGACAGGTGGTGTCACACAGGGTTAGAGAGATGTATCAATGGAACAGAATGGGGGGTCCAGATGTGCGATCACATGCGTGTGGCTGGTCGGGTTTTTACAAAGGCAGCGGCACTTGGCACTGGGAGAGGAAAGTCCTTCATGACTGTGCTGTAGCACGTGGACATGACACAGACAGGTGAGCCTTAACTATCACTCACACCACACACACACACACACACACACACACACACACACACACACACACGAACATACTTGGAATGAAGCCAGGTCTTAACTGTGAGCAGGACTCTAGAGCTTCCAGAAATGCACAGGTGGAACGCCCACGCCCTCGAGGCAGGCAGATGTCTCGGGCCTAAAAGCCGCAGAAAAACACTTGATAAACCAACCTTCATCAGCAGGAGAATCGCGTGCTCATCCAGGGGCCCCGCGAAAAAGATGAAAGCCAGAGCCGCCGACAGGAAGGAAATTTGTAATACATCTCTCTGACAAAGGACTTGTGCACAGAATATATAAAAATTCCTACAACTCAATAAAGAAAAAGACAATCCAATAAAAATAAATTGAGGAACAGACTAGACCAGGGACTTCAAAAATTATCTGAAGGGATAGTGAGCTCCGAGGGAAGTGCTCCCGAGCCCCCACGTGAGGGAGATGTAAGCTACAGCCTTGAGACACCACCATGCCCATCGCGTGCCAGCAAGGATGTGGGGCACGTGGGGGTCAGTGACCCAGTGCTGACAGGTGCAAAATTGTACAACTGCTTTGGAAAACCACCTGGCATTTCCTCACGAAGTTAAGCACACATCTGCCTGCGACCCAGCAATTCCACACCTGTGGGTTCTCCCCAGGAGAAGAGAAAACATCTGTCCACACAGAAACCTGGTCACCATGTCTGTAGCAACCCGACTCATCATAACACAAGACTGAAAATGGCCCAGATATCCTCCAACTGGAGAACAATTGAGCGAAGTGTGCAACCATGTTCGTCATACGGAAGGTTACTCAGCGACCAATGTACCAGGGAAGTGGGTGAAGCTCACAAGAGAAGCCAGGTGCAACAGGTTGCTCTAGATGGGGTTAAAGAATGGGCAGAACTAGCACAGGAAGTTGGAGCAGCACGACCTCCGTGGCCCTGGGGACGGGAGTATTGGTTTGCTCCGGCTGCTCTAACAAAACTCCATAGAAACAATAGCAGAAATG